ACGGATGGGAACTCATCAAAGTCCAAAGTCCCTTCCAGCCCTATTAAGGTCCTCCGATGAAGAAGAGAAATATGGAGGGAGAGAAAGAGAACAGGAAGGAAAGGGAAAGAAGGGACGAAAAAGGGGGAGGGGAGGGAAAGAGGAAAGGAAGGAAGGAAGGAAGGAGAAAAGGATAGAAGGAAGGAGAAAGTGAGATGGAAGGAAGGAACTCCACTGCAGAAAACAACCATCAGAAACTGCCAAGGCCTTGAATCTCAGTTTTCTGGCTCTGTTTTTGTGTCTGAATGCTCTCAGCGTTTCCTGGAGACCACCCTTTTGTGCTAGCCTGGCAACCGTGTAGGGAGCATCTTCAAGTGACGGATTGATTCCCCCCTTTTTTTTCTGTAGCTGAGAAGATTTCTCGGGCCAAAAGAGAGAAAAAAAGGACCCCAGCCCTTTCCACAATCACATTGGCGGTGAGAAGGGGCAGAATCAGGGGGGCGAAATGCCCCCAGAATAGAATCAAAGATATCAGAGGAAGCTTTTGGAAAGATAAGCTCCCTTGTTGATAATCCCTTTGGGGAACTAATTAAACCTTTCTCCGAGAGCTGCCAAGGAATATTCGCATTTTCTTTCCAAAATCCTATTTGGGCAACGTCTCACGCCCTTCCTGAACCGATGACTCTTCTCCTCTTCCTTCTCCCCTCTCTTTCTCTCTTCCCTTCTGCAACTAATTAAGGAAAACTAAGGAGGAATTTCCTGGCAGTGAGGAACTTAATTCTTTCCTATTTGGCTATGATGGAGACGCGACCGTCCAAAGTCCCGTCTCTCCGTCTGTCTCCACGCTCAAAAATCCTATTTGTTTCCCACCCATCAATATTTGATCGGGACATATTTCTTCCTAAATTGGAATTCGGGACTATAAAAGGAGACTCCTGTAATGGAAAAAAAAACCCCACCTATTCCTGCTGGGGATAAAAGGGGGGGCGCATCTAGCCAGCCACCCCCACCCCATCCCGAAAGACGAGTTTAAAAATGTCAGCCATCCCTCCAGGCTGTGGAAAGGGAAGACAGATGTAGGAGTAAAGGTAACCGACTTCCAATTTCCCACAGAAATTAATCCGAGGCTGCGAACGGCTCTTGCAGTCCCCAGAAGTCTGATTTAATGCTTCTACGGCCCTCGGTTTTTTTTTGGTTTTAACTGCGCTCAACTCCCACAAGCTCTTCGGCTGTGCGAAGAATTAATTTTCTTCTTCTTGTTTCTTGTCTCGAAATTGGATTCCCGGAAAACGGGCAAGGGTCTTTGGGAGGTTGCAAGCAGGAGGTGGGCCTTCAAGGTGGGAGGGATAGGGGTCCCTGTAGGAGGGTCCAGTGCAGGGCACAGCAATTGCTTCAGAGGCATCTCTGGTTAGGTTCCAGAAGGAGACCCTCCTCTCTCTCTCTCTCTCTCCCTCCCTCCCTCCCTCCTTCCTTCCATCTTTTCCATGCTGGCAAACAAGACCACTCTGTTGACTTCCAAGTGCCCAAAATAGCTCCTCTTCCTCTTTTTTCCTTCTCCTCTTCCTCCTCTTCCTCCTCCTCCTCCTCCTCCTTGTTCTCCTTCTCCTCTTCTTCCTCCTCTTCCTCCTTGTCTCCACAAATCCCACTCCCTTCTATGTTACCTACTTGGGTCATGAAAGGGCTGCAAGAAAACAAGCTCAGAGAGCATCAAGGATCCCTTAGTTCCTCTTCCTCCTCCTCCTCCTCCTCCAAGGGAGATTTTATTAGGCTTGCATTCCTCCCCAGACAGCTTCCCCCCCCCAATCTCCTAGCTCAGCCTCACCTGAGCCTCTCTGACAGCAGCATCTGGAGCAGAAGCCGCACGCAACATTAAACATCATGTTCTTTCAAGGGTGGGCAGGATCCTTTCCCCTCCGAGCCGTGCCGATAATAGACTTGACTTTTTCGGGCCCTACACCTACTAAAAGGCATAAAAGAAAGGTTAGCCAGGCAAAGTGGAAAGCAGAGAGTTTAATTAATCCCTGACTGCACTCTTGGGTGGGGAAGGCAGAAGCTGCGCAAAGACTCTGTTGACTGAACTGGGTTCAGAAGACTCTTATGACAATAAAGGTTTATCTACCCATCCATCCATCCATCCATTCATCCATCTATCTATCTATCTATCTATCTATCTATCTATCTATCTATCTATCTATCTATCTAATCTCTATCCCTCCCTCCCTCCCTCCATCTACCCATCCATCTATCCATCCACCCATCCACCCATCCATCTACCCATCCATCCATCCATCCATCCATCCATCCATCCATCCATCCATCCATCTATCTATCTATCTATCTATCTATCTATCTATCTATCTATCTATCTATCTATCTATCTATCCATCCATCCANATCTATCTATCTATCTATCTATCTATCTATCTATCTATCTATCTATCTATCTATCTATCTATCTATCTATCTTAGATTCTTCCAAAGAGTTTTAATTTTTTTTATTTTTTTCTCTCTCCTCCGTGGAGACGGGGCCGTCCCAACGTTCATTCAGGCTGGTGCTTCCGTTAAAAGCCAGATCCATGCAGAGAACCAGGATTAACGGAGAACGGGCAAGGCTGCCCATCTCCTGGTGGAGATCACAGGTAATCCTTGGTTTACAGCAGTTCATTTAGTGACCGTTCAGAGTTAACACAACGGCTCTGGAAAAAAAGGACAAAATTCAGAGGCTTGGCAGCTGGCATGTACTTATGCCGGTCTCAGGGTCCCGGGATGGTGTGATCCCCCCTTTTGTGATCGTCTCAGGTTCAAGAGAAAGAGAATGACCTTGTGGGAGAAGTGCAGGAGAGGAAGAGGTGAACGAGATCCTGGAGAAGGACGTTCTTCAGATCTTGGAGAATCTTGAGGTCTTGGAGAAGGAGAAGGACATTTTTGAGATCTTCTTGGAGAGAAAGAGAAAGATATCCTCGGGACCTTGAATAAGATCCACAGCTCTGAGATGGCAAATGGATCTTGAAGAAGAGACAAAACAGGGACGCCATAAATAAGCTGCACAAAACAGCTCCTGAAATGTTGGTCAGGGGATCTTCCCCCCCCCCCCCACATCTCCTTCAGTGTGGAGGTAATGCAATTAAGCTCCTCATTTTCATAAGAATTGGAACTTGCATTATTCATGCTCTGCCCATTTGCATGTGGAACATGAGCCTCCAGGCCTTCCAATCCTCTCCTCTTGGTTCCAGCCCAGGTAAGAGACATCGGGCATCACCCAGAAGTGACCGAAGGCTGCCAGTTTAATGAAGAAAGCAGCATTCTAGTCCCTTTGAAGGAGAAACTTGTGGTTTCCTGGTTGTGAGGGGTTAGAAGAGGATGCATTTGTTTTTGGGACAAGCTCTGGGTATTTTTCTCTCTCTCTCTTTCTGTTTCTCACTCTGTATGTTTCTCTCTCTCTCTGTGTTTTTCTTTGTTTTTTAGGGTTGCCAGGTCTGCTTCCAAAAAATAGCGGACAAGCGGGGGGGGGGTTAAGTAGTAAAAAAAGTAGACTGTACAGCTTTAGATTACGTACCATTTCATCATAAAGCTTTTGAATAAAAAAAATGTCCACTATTTTGTGAAAAAAAATAGTGAACATAATGTGAAAAAAGTGGACTGTCCACTCAAATAGTGGACACCTGGCAACCCTATAAATGTTTTTCTCTGTTTCTTTCTTGGTGTGTTTCTCTCTGTTTCCATTTCTGTGTGTGTTTCTCTGTATTTCTCTTTCTCTGTCTCTGTCTGTCTGTCTGTCTCTCTCTCCCACACACACACACCATGAGCTCCACGCCGCTGTTTCCTGATCATCCGTTTCCAACAGGACTAAATGTTGGCTGAATCCCATTCTCTGTCCAGGCACGTGCGCTGCTCGTCTTGAGCATTCAGAAGAAAAGAGCTCCATGGGTTTTCTGCTCGTGGGTCTCCCCGGAGAGCAGAGGAGGATACAGACCCCCACCTCCTCCCGCAACCTCTGACGGTCAACCGGGTCAATTACATAATCCCACTGTTCCCAAAGGCGGGCACAGAAGATGGCCAGTTCAGTTTGGCAAGGAAGAAGCAGCTTCCGCTTTCAATTACCCGATCCCACCAAGACCATCAACCACGAGCAACATCAAAAACAGGGCGCTCATCCTCCTGGGCCTTTTGTCCAGGATGGGATAAGGACTCTTGTTTTGGGTAAAGGGTTGGACTAGAATCACTAGATCAGTGTTTCTCAACCTTGACCATTTTAAGGCATGTGGACTTTCAACTCCCAGAATTCCACAGCCAGCAATGCTGGCTGTGGAATTCTGGGAGTTGAAGTCCACATGCCTTAAAATGGTCAAGCTTGAGAAACCCTGCACTAGATGATCTCCAAGGACCCTTCCAACTCTTGGTCATTCTGTTTTCTATAATCTAGCCCTGCACTGTCTTCAAGGGCAGCCCCACGTATGACAGAGTGCAGAGTGAATTAATCATTAGCATTTTTGCACGCGTATTTATTTACATATTTAGGGTACGGCCTGTCATTGCATGGACCAGCAATATATATTAACATTTAATCTAGATTTTTGCACGTGGGTTCACACGTTACTGGCAACGCCAGCTTCGCCATCTCCAAGACGGGCGGCGAAGAGCCCCGCCCACAGGTGGGCGCGGTTTTCTCCCCCTTCTGCCCGTCCACCAGTTAGGGCGCATGCGCGGCAAAGAAACACGCGGCGCCTCCTTCAAAAACCTCGCCGCCGTCCTTTCCCCCCCGCAGTCCTTCCTTCGTCCGCTTCTGCGCATGTCCCGCTTTCTGCCGGCGGCTTTTTTTTTTTTTTTTCCCTTTTCTGCGCAGGCGGGGCTGCTCTAGTCTCGCGCGCTCTCCGGCGTTCCTCGGCGGCCCGCCGGCCTTGTAATCTCGCCTGTAGATGGCGCACTTTGAAAGCGGCCCCTTGAGCTCCCGTTCTTTTCCTAGAGCGGCCGTGAAGGCGGGAGGGCGCCTTCTGCCGGGCGCATGCGCGCTCGGAAGGTGAAAGGTCGGCAACATGGCGGCGGCCTCTTCAGGCGATGAAGCGCCGGACAATGAGGACTATTATTCGTTGCTGAACGTGCGGCGGGAGGTGAGGCGCTGTGAGGGGCGCCGGGCTGCTCTGGGGAGCCGCTCCCGGGCGAGTCGAGGCCCGGCGGCGGGAGGGAGAGCGGCCGGCGGCGGCGGGGGAGGCTCGGCCAGTCATTGACAGGACAGAAGCGGGCGGGGATTCCGGTCAAATATCTCCACAATGTGGTATACAAAGTGGGAGCCGCTCCAGAGCTGAGGAGATCTCGATTTTGGAGTTTTTCCCCGCCGAGGAGATCTCCAAAAGCCCCCCCCCCCTTTATTATTTGGGAGGGGATTCCTCAGAGGTCATCTAGTCCACCCCTTTGCCCTCAGATATAAGCTAAGACAACCTTTATCGTTCCTTTTCCTTTGCACACACTGGCACACATTATCCATGAAATTCTGAGGCCCACTCTCAAAAGAATATATATGGATGTGCATAAATAAAATACATACCGTACGTACATTAACCGCAGTCTATTTTGAATACATGGGGGGGGGAAGAACCAGTCTTGAGACTTAATAAGATGGATACTGTATTTTACAAAGCTGATTGCCTCGTCTATTATTATTGATATGTCCAAGGTTAGGCTTGGAAAGGGGGCCTGAAGGCGGCCAGGGCAGCCGAAGAAGGTCGAAGAGGCTCTTGTGGAAGAAAAAAAGAGCAGCCATTCCTCAGAGCTGAAGGCCAGGGAGGCCTTGGAAGGAAGGAGACCCCGAGGGGGTCCCAACTAAATCACAGAAGGGAATCAAAGTTTAAATTATGGAACCCTGTACAGGTGATCCTCGGCTTACGGCCACAATCGAACCCAGAATTTCTGTGGTTAAGCGAGACGGTTGCTAAGTGACTTTTGCCACTGTTGTTAAATGAATCACTGCTGTTGTTAACTTAGTAACACGGTCGTTAAGTGAATCTGGCTTCCCCATTGACTTTGCTGGACGGAAGGTGGCAAAAGGGGATCACGTGACCCCAGGGACACTGCGACTGTCATAAGTATGAGCCAGTTGCCAAGCATCTGAACTTTGATCTCGTGATGCTGCAGCAGTCGTAAGTGTGAAAAATGGTCCTAAGTCACCATTGTAACTTTGAACGGTCACTAAATGAACTGTTGTAAATGGGGAACTACCTCTATATGCATATCCTGTCTCTAAGGTGGCAGACCTGATGTTCCTGTCCTCCCCACCATTTTCCCCCCAGCTACACCCCTGCGAGGTGGGATGGGCTGAGAGAGGGTGACTCTCCCAACGTCACCCAACCGGCTTTCCTGCCTAAGGCAGGCCCAGAATTTGCAGTCTTCCATTTTTGGCACTCCAGCCAACTGGTTTGTCTTCCTGTTTTCAGGTTTTGCTTTTCCTGTCATCTCCGAGAGCCAACAAATGTCTAAGGCAGTGCTTTTCAACTTTGGCATCAACACTTGAAGATGTGTGGACTTCAACTCCCAGAATTCCCCCGCCAACCATGCTCGTTTTTTTTTCTCTCCTACCCCCCCTCCCCAGAGTGGAGAGATTGCAGAGAAAGGGATTATAAGAGATTAAGCAGGCCACATTTGGGATACACATCGAAAGGATTAAAGTCCACGCATCCTCAGTTGCCAAGGTTGGAAAACATTGGTCTTGAGCAGGGGGCTGGACTAGAAGACCTCCAAGGTCCCTTCCAGCTTTATCCTATCCTAAGGGGCATACAACCTTAATAAATTACGATTTCCAAAGGCTGTCTTATAGGGCTTTTTTTTTTTTTTTTTGACAAAATGGGGAAACTAAAGTAATGGAATGAATAGGTGAACCCACAAGCCTTCTGTCACCCTTTCCATCCCATGCCCTCCAAATGTTCAAAGGCTTTGCTTATTTTAGGAAACTACGATAGGAGAAAGTTTTCCTGCTTATAATTTTCCTCAGCAGCTAGTCCTCAGCTTTTCACCCCGACATTTGTGTTGCTAAGCAAGACAGTTGTTACGTGAGTTTGCCCCCATTTTACGACCTTTCTTCCCGCGGTTTTTAAATGAATCCCTGCAGTTGTTAAGGGAGTCACACGGTTGTTAAGCGAATCCGGTTTCCCCATTGATTTTACTGGTGGGAAGGTCGCGAAAGGGGATCACATGATGCTGTGACCGTCATAAATATGAACTGGGACATTGCAGCTGTCGTAAGTGCACGGCAATTGTGAAGCATCTGAATTTTGATCACGAGACCATGGAGATGCTGAAACGGTTTGAAAAGTCACTTTCCTCAGTCTTTTTTGGTCACTAAATGAATGGATGTAAGTCAAGGACTGCCTCCATTGACTGAGCAACAGTGAGCTGTTTAGGTTTTATAAGTTATGCCACTTTACTTTTTACTCACAATCTGCATATATCTCTCTCTTCCGTCTATTTTCAGATGGAAGCATTTTTTTATATCCAAAACCGACTGCCTCATCAGAGGTAGAGAAAACGGTGCTTGTTAATGTATTGTGCATTAAATTTTGGATTAATTAGTTTGGGAGACCTTCCTCTGAGCAGATCTACAGCTTGGCTCTTCGGCACTTTAAACCGCCTCAGGGAAAAATAAAATTAGAATGACACTAAACTCTGTTTTTCCTACAATCCTTCTGCCAAAAATGCAGAATAGCTTCCTTTGCAGAGTCAGGGGCTAATTGAAAGACACATGGGCTCTTTATTCAACTCTCAGTTTTGCGGGTTTTACAGGGATGTGTGTGTGTGTGTGTGTATATATATATTTGAGAATAACAAAAATAAGGGTTGGTATCAAATTGCTATAAAAAAAGGACGAATTGTCAACTGTATTGATTTTCTTGTTCTCCTGGCCGTCTTCCGGCCTGATCTCTTTTGCTTGAAGGTGATTTCCACACTTGTGCAGGCAAACAGGTAGTCCTCGATTTACGACTGTTCATTTAGGGACCAGTCAAAGTGACAGCGGCACTGAAAAAAGTGAGCCGTGACTGTTTTTCACGCTTAACGACCGTTGCAGCATCCCTGTGGCCATGTGATCAAAATTCAGGCACTCAGCAACCGACTCATACTTATGACAATTGCGGTGTCCTGGAGGGGGTGTCACGTGACCCCCTTTTGCGACCTTTTCAGAAGGGTTGGGTTCAATTTTGGCCGTAAGCCGAGGACTACCTACAAATACTTAAGGATTCATAGATAAGATGGTTTTCCAAGTAAGAGCCAACTTAATCAATTCTGCGCTAAAGGTGGATCCGTAATTTCTTTTTAAAAAAAATTCAGACATGGTTCATTCTAATCCTGATCTCATATTTTAACGCTCTGGATAGGTTGATAATTTTGGGTGCCAGCAACATAAACCGTCCAATTTCTGGTGATCGATCTCCGATCCTCGTTTGCGTTGATATTAAAACAAAGCGTGTCAAAACCTCTTGACGGGTGGCCTTTTTTTAAAAAAAAAAAATCTCTCGTGTACTTAAAATGCTCAGCCAGTTGCACAAGATGGAAAGCTACAATTTTTGGAGTCAATTCAAAATTTACTGTACTTTGCAGCCTGCAAGCATATCCCTGAAAATTAGTTTTGAGGGATATGGTTGCAGGTTGCAAATATGGTTCATGTCAAAAAATACAGTTGCATCTTTGTAAAGAAATGAACGGACTTTTCAGATGGAGATTGAGTGATCTTTTGCTTCTAAGTCCTTGTATAAAACATCTCCTCCTTCTCCTTTTCCTTCTCCTCCTCTTCTTCCTTCTCCTCCTCTTCTCCTTCTCTTCCTTCTCCTCCTCCTCTTCCTTCTCCTCCTCCTCCTCTCCACTCCCTGAACCCAACTGCCTTCTGACACTGATGATATTTCCTAGTTGGGTTGCGAAACATCTGCAAGGAAAGAACCAAGCTCAGAGAGCACCAAGGGCTCCATAAGTTAAATTTTGCCATATTTTATTTTGAGTGGCTTCACAGTTTCGGAATTTCCCCCGGGAACCATGCCCGATTTCATCTATAATATTTGTTTAAAAAAGGAACCCAGTAGATTAAAAAAAAAAATAGTTGGAGGCTGTGCTTCGTGTCCTTTGTTAAGTACCGCTTAATAAGTATCCCGGTTGTAATATTTGTGGTTTTATAACTTTCATAAAATGACATTTTTCCTAGGCTATGTTTGAAAAGTAGGTGAGGAAACCTTTTAATTAAACCAAAGCTAAACAAATAAATTGGGGGTAAAAAAAAAGCCATTTATTTCCCAAAGGATCAAATCTGTCCAGGACCGTTTTATCAAGATGACAGTTCTTTAAGAGTTATTAATTTTGGGGCTGCATTCGGAAGAGGAGAACCCCAGAACTATGTTTATTAAATAAAAAAGATGGCAGGGCTGATTTCCATGATCCGATGACTTGCCAGGAGGGATAAAAATGCGAACGGAGCAATGGAACTTGTTGGGTTTTTTTTTTCAAAATATAAGGGTGTTGTGACAGACCATTTAATTGAGGAGCTTATAAATCAAGATTGAACCAAGGTAGAGCTTCCAGGCACGTTCAAGCTTTGAATGCTGGCTTCGGGGTAGGAGTCTGGAGTAATTGCTTCTCAACTCCCCAACCTATTTTAAAAAACAAATCCTGTCGTGATGATTTTATTAAAACCTGCAGCAACTGGGCAGCTCGGCCTTCCCGGTGCTGTGTCCTTCCCTCCCACTTCTCTTTTCCAGGTTAATCTGACCAGGGAGGATGGAAGGGAGCAGAGTTTAAACAGACCAGGATGAGATGAGATGAGATGGGCATAAAAAAATCTGGCTCTTGCCAATAGCTCGGGCAATGACAGAAAAACGCAGGTCGTCCTTGACTTAGAGAGAGCCCCAAATTAGTGAGAACATTATTAAGTGAATTTTGTTCCATTTTACGACCTGTAAATTTCGGCTCAATTGTCGTAATTCGAGGAATAACCGTATTAGCGTTAATCTCTCCTTCCACTTTGAAATGTTGTTCAGGATTTCAGAGAGATGTTCTTGCTCCTACGAGATATTGAGCCGGTGACCTCTTAGCGATTCCCTCGATGATAAAAAGCCCAATTTTATATTTTATTGAACATGATTTTTTTTTTTTTGGGTGGGGAAAAAAAATTGAATGGCTCATCTCTATTACTTAATCAATAGCGCATTAAACCATTTATCACCGGTTTGATTAAATCAGGTCCTGGCTGGGCTAGAATTTCTACTCCTTCCTCGTCTGCGTTAATTCTTCTAGCTAAAAGAGAGGCATGTGGTTTTTTGTTTTTTTTGCAGTGAGATCCTGGCAGGTTTCATCCAATTTGCATGTAGATGAACTAAGAATTAAAAAAAAAAACAGCAGGAAAAAAAACAAACAAACTCAATTCCAGAAATGGCTTAAGTCCCGCTACGTAGATTAAAATGATGTAGTTTTCTGCTGAGTTTTAAGTTCCTATTTAGGGTGGCTAAACCTTATCTTCCAAGTTAAAAGCTAGGGAAATTTTTCCACTGGTCAAATAAGGTCTTCGGACGCAAAACTTTGGAGATAATCCTGCATTTGCACCGTGGTTTCCTGATAGCTCCCTGACACAGGCAGTCCTCGACTTAACGACCGTTAGTTTTAGCGACCGTTTGCATTTTGAAAAGCGACTCCTGAGCATTTTTCACAACGGCCGTTTGCAGCATCCCCCACGATCCAACTGACTCATATTTATGACGGTCGCCGTTTCCCAGGGTCACGTGACACCCCCCCCTTTTGCGACTGTCTGACCAGCAACCTCAACAGGGAAGTCGGGTTCACTTAACAACCATGTTACTAACTGTAGTTTCCTGCCTGAGCAGGGGGTTGGACTAGATGATCTCCAGGGTCCCTTCCAACAACTTCAACTACTACTACTACTACTACTACTACTTCTTCTTCTTCTTCTTCTTCTTCTTCTTCTTCTTCTTCTTCTTCTTCTTCTTCTTCTTCTTCTTCTTCTTCTTCTTCTTCTTCTTCTTCTTCTTCTTCTTCTTCTTCTTCTTCTTCTTCTTCTTCTTCTTCTTCATCATCATTATTATTATTATTATTATTATTATTACTTTACAACTCTTGTGAGTTGTGAGTCCACCATCACAGCTTTACAGTGCAAAGTGTAAGCAGCCTCGGAGCGCTCGGCTTCCCTGACCCAGCAGATTCGGGATCTCATTAGCCGCCTCGCTGCCTCGATCGACGCTTAATTGGATTTCTGCTCTTTTTTCTCCAGGCCACTCAAGAGGAGCTGAAAGCCGCCTACCGCCGGCTGTGTATGCTGTATCATCCCGACAAGCACAGAGACCCCGAACTCAAGAGGCAGGCCGAACTGCTCTTCAACCTCCTTCACCAGGCTTATGAAGGTCAGAGGCGGGAAACTGGATGGCCTTCTGAGCTGGGCGGTTTCCTGGCAGAGGTTTCAGGATCCAACTAGGGAACATCATCTGTGCCAGATGGGGGGAGGAGGAGGAGGAGGAGGAGGAGGAGGAGGAGGAGGAGGAAAAGGATTGTAGGGTCCTTAGTGTTCTCTAAGCTTGGTTGTTTTCTTGCAGATGTTTCCTGACCCAAACTAGGCAACATCATCAGTGCCGCCTATGGCCGACGGTCTGTTGTATATAGAGCATGGATGATGTTCCCTAGTTTGGGCCATGAAACGTCTGCAAGAAAACAGCCAAGCTCAGAGTGCACCAAGGACCCCACAGTCCTCCTCTAACACTGATGATGTTCCCTAGTAGGGTCATGAAATGTCTGCAAGGAAACCACCAAGCTCAGAGAGCACCAAGGACCCCCCAATCCTCCTCCTCCTCCTCCTCCCCCCCACTCCGTTCTGGCACTTGATGATGTCACCTAGTTGGGTCATGAAACATCAGCAAGAAACTCCCAAACTCAGACAGCACCAAGGACCCCCAGAGTGCTTTTCCTCCTCGCCCTCACCCCTCCTTATCCCTTCCCTTTTCATCCCTTCCCTCTTCATCCCTTCCCTTCCCTCCCCAGTAAAGTCAACCCTTCTTACATTACGCTTTGCTACCTACCACATCTAAGACACCGGCCTGCTCAAGACCAAGGAGTCCTTTTCGTGTCGCCCCCCAGCAGCTTCTTAGCTGCCCACGTGATCTCTGTGTTGTGTGTGTTTCCCGTAAGAGCTTAACACAAGGGCACTTCTGCAGACGGCGGCGTTCTCTGCAAGCGCTTCACCACAGACCCTCTTCCCGGTTAATGCGTCTGCTCTTTCGCTCCGACAGACGAGGGAAGGGATTTGAGGTGAGGTCTCCAAGGTTACCCACGCTGAAACCTGGCAAAGGACTCGTCTTTCTCCCTCCGGCCCCCCCTCTCCCAATTCCCAGCGGTCTTTCCTTCCTACAGAGAGAAAGATTTATTTTTTTTAAATTCTCAATCTTCTATAAAAGCTTTTAAGCGCTGTAGCTGGTGAGAGAAGAGGAAGCTTGCCAAAAAAAATTAGAGGAGAGGTGGTTTACCGGAGTGTGCAAAAAAAAATAAAAATAAATGATGGATCCCCACACAGTTTGCGATAATGTGAGATTGCCAGATTTTTATTTTTATTTTTTTTTAGCTGTGCAGCCCTTTCTGTCAAAGCTTTCCTTGAAAACAGCTGGCGTTTTGGACAGCCTTCCCTGATCCCGGTTTGGTCCAATGAATCTTGCGCGCGTCTGAATTATTGATAGCTTGCAGCAGTTTTGGGGGGATTTGGGGCGAGCGGACAGGGAGAGAGAGAGAGGTAACTGAAGCTTAAGTAAATTAGGAGCTGGCCAGATTTGGCTTTTTTTTCTTTTTTTTTTTTTCCCCTTCCCAGTAAAACTGCAACGCCAGCAGTTTTGGCTGTCCATTGCTTGGGCCCAGAGGGAAATAGTGAATAAATGATTTCTTATTAAATCCCAGAGATTAGCCAGAGATATTTGGCTGTGGAGTTTTTTGGAAGGATCAGCATTTCTGTCCTCCGATTACTTTGGACGTGAGTGGAATCATTGACAGCAGGGTTTCTCCACCGTGGCAAGTTTAAGACGGGTGGACTTCAACTCTCAGAATTCTCCAGACATCCCCTCTCTTCTTCCTTCCTTCCTTCCTTCCTTCCTTCCTTCCTTCCTTCCTTCCTTCCTTCCTTCCTTCCTTCCTTCCTTCCTTCCTGCTTTCCTTCCTTCCTTCCCCCCTCCCCCTTCCTTCCTTCCTTCCTCTCCCTCTTTTCCTTCCTTCCTTCCTTCCTCCCTCCCTCTCTCCCTTCCTTCCTTCCTTCCTTCCTTCCTTCCCCTTCCTCCCTCCTTCCCTCCAGTTCTTCCAATGTGTATCCCCGTTGTCGCCTGCTTACTCTCTTATAACCTCTTCCTCTGCAATCTCTCCACTCTGTGGATGGGGATGGGCGAGAAAAAAAAAGAGGATGGTTGGCTGAGGAATTGTTGAGAAACGCTGACTTACAGCATCCTTAATTAGAATTTTGGGATACACAGGAGCAAGATGTTAAGCAGGGAAGGAGCAATGTTTCTGTATGAGAAATCTTCCAGTCTCCCCCCCCTCCCCCCGGACCCCCGTTTGAAATCCAGTTTTAGAAGAATGCTGGAATTAGGATTAGACTTAAACCTACCCCTCTGGCTTGTAAGGTCAGCCCTGTCTACCCTCCCTGACGTCATTTCACTGTGTCTGTGTTGGGTGGCCTGTTTTTTGTTTTGTCTTCTAAAAATAATAGCGAAAAGGCGCCGGCAAATGTGTTTGTGTGGGTTGGGTATGGAGGCTTGGCTGTGAACTCGGCCTCCAAAGCTTCAGGTTTGGGTAATAACGTCTCAATTTTGATTTCCAGTGCTCAGCGACCCCCAGACCCGAGCCATCTACGACATTTATGGAAAACGAGGCCTTGAAATGGAAGGATGGGAGGTAAGAAGAAGAGAGAGCTGCTGGCTGGGCAGTCTGGTCTCCATCTTGGCCTGGGGGGGGGTGTCTGTTTGGGGCGGGGAAGGAGAAAAGCCCACGTCTAACAGAATAACAGAGTCGGAAGGGACCTCAGAGGTCTTCTAGTCCAACCCCCTGCTCAAGCAGGAGACCCTAGACCATTCCGGATAAGTGGTTGTTCAATCTCTCCTTAAAAACCTCCAGTGATGGAGCACCCACAATCTCTGGTGGCAAGCAGTTCCACTGGTTAATTGCTCTCACTGATAGGAAGTTTCTCCTTAATTCCAGGTTGCTTCTCTCCTTGATTAGTTTCCATCCGTTGTTCCTTGTCCTGCTTTTAGGTGCTTTGGAGAATAAATAAGTTGACCCCCTCTTCTTTGGGGCAGCCCCTCAAATATTGGAAGATGCTATCATGTCACCCCGAGTCCTTCTTTTCTCTAGACTGACCCTACCCAATTCCTGCAACCGTTTGGACGCTTGAAGTCTCCTGCTTCCGATGGGGGTTGGACTAGAGGACCTCCAAGGTGTCCCAGCCCTAGGATTCTATTACAATCAGCGGAACGGCTTGCCTCCAGAAGTTGTGGCTGCTCCATCACTGGAGGCTTTCAAAAAGAGGCCAGACAGCCTTTTGTCCGAGATTACACAGGGTCTCCTGCTCGAGTAGTGGGTTGGACTACATGACCTCCAAGGTCCCTTCCAACCCTCCGGTATTTGCTTTAAAAAAAAGAGAGCTTTGAACACTGCTTCGGTTTTGAAGGACATTCCGTGTCCCTTCGGACCCTCTTTGCTCAGACTTTATTCCAGCCTTGACCGACAGTTACAGATTTGATGGGCGGAACGTCAGAAGTTTGAATAATTAGTTTTGGCCCCCCTGTCACACCGAGCCCGGCTCCTAAAACCCAACGGGAAAAAACAAAAAAACTAGCGAGGATTCTATAATTTGACGCCGGTGCCCCCAGAGGTCTAATCATTTCTGTGAATTTATAGAAAATAAACAGAAGGCTGGTTTTCTTTTTTTAAAAAACAACAACAAACACACACACACACACACACAGCATCGCTGTAGGAAATGTTCATTAAATTGGCGATGGAGAGAGACAGCGGATGATTTAAAGAGCAGGAAATTCGGATGGCTGTGTCAGCCGGAGAGTGTCGAGGTGTTTGTTAAGAGCTGGAGGAAACAGCGGTGACATTTAAAAATAATAATAATAATAATAATAATAATAATAATAATAATAATAATAATAATAATAATAATAATAATAATAATAATATAATAATAATAATAATAATAATAATAATAATAATAATAATAATAATAATAATAATAATAATAATAATAATAATAATAATAATAATAATAATAATAAGATCCACATCTGGGGCCGTTCTCTCTTTTTCCAATTTATGTTCTTTTTACGAAAATGGAAAATTGAAATCGTGCCGTTTTGTTGAGTTTAGAGATGACATGGAAAGGAAGGGGGAAAAAATAAAAAAATAACTGCCTTGGGAAGAGTCACTGAAAAAAATAGACATGAGTCCTGGAATTACGACCGAGATTGAGCCTCAGATTTCTGTTGCTAAGAGAGACATTTGTCAAGCTGAGGACTGCCTGTCCTGTGTAGCACGTCTTCCTAGGAGTAGCAGAAGCCATACTAGAGGTAGCAGCTGGGAAGGAAGGACGGCTTAGAAAGGGGGGAGGAATATAGGTGGGCCCTCTTTTTTTTAAACCCAGCCTTATTTTTTTTCCTTAACCTTATTTTTTTCTCCCTGGGAGAAATGAGGCTGACCTTGCTCAGCTCCACTGCGGAACCAATCTCTCTAACCCCTTGACCCACCAATTTTCCCAAGAACAGCGCCCACAATGAGGTTGACCCGGGGCCAGATGTTTTTAACCTTGGGGTCAGTTCTCGCAGATGTGCCCGGACTGCCTAAAATAACTGGCTTTTTTTTTTTTCCGCGGCCAGAAAAACAGCATTTTTTCCCCCTCTGTCCGCCTGCCCCAAAAGGGAGAGGGAGATAAAGTCATTTACACCAAGCTCCGTTCCTCCTGACTCTCTGCTTGAGGTCTTCCACATCCAATTTCACCTCTCTTGGCCCCGCGGATAATTTAATCCCCTCGGTTTTTCGTGCCGAGGGTTTGAGATCTTGAGCCGGGGACGTGTGTGGGTGGGTGGGTGGGATTTCTTCCCCAAAATCTCTGCTAAAGGATGGTCTTCTCGGTAACTTGGAAAAGTCCCCTGATTTGGGGAAAACCCGCCTGGCTTATAAGTTAGTCCTCTTCTTACGACCACAGTTTTGTTCGTTCCAAGCTGGTGTCTGCTAACACAGATGACCTCCCAAGGTGAATTCCTGCCCCCCCCCTTTAGGTGGTGGAGAGGAGAAGGACCCCCGCCGAAATCCGGGAGGAATTTGAACGGCTGCAGCGCGAGAGAGAGGAGAGGCGGCTGCAGCAGCGGACGAACCCCAAAGTAAGACTTTGCAAAGTTGTCAAAAGCCGCCGGGTTTGCGTTTGTCCTCCTGTTGATAAGTATATTTATTTTAAGAGAAGGTGAGTTTAAACATCCAAGCCGTCAGGCTGTGAAGGAAAAACCCCGTAAGGAGGATGAACGAGGAACTTCTACGTTCCACCATGCAGCTAGTCCTCAACTCACGATCGCAATTGGGGCTGGCCTTTCGGGCGATGACTCGGCAACGCAGTCATTAAACGAGTCGTCATGGTGGAATGTGTAGGAGGTAGACAGCCTGTTAGTTCCTCCTGCCCCCCCCCTTCAGCTACACTTTCCACCAAAGTCGTCCTGTGACTGGATCCAATTTTGCGGCCATTTTCACCACAGTCATTAAGTGGATCACGTTACTATGGGAATCATCAAGGATCTGTTCCGTTCCGCAGGGTACCATTAGCGTCGGAGTGGACGCGACCGACCTGTTTGACCGCTACGAGGAGGAGTACGAAGACGTGCCAGGCGGCCCTTTCCCGCACCTTGAAATCAACCGCATGCACATATCCCAGTCCATCGAGGTAAGGGGGCTTGTTTTTCCCCCATTTCGGCCCCCAGAGGGCGCCCCCCAAAAAACCTTCAAAGAGCCTCGTCCGGCTCCTTCCTAACCTGGCTCACTCACGCGATCTGTTCGTCCTGCAGGCCCCGCTCACGACCACGGACACCGCCATCCTCTCGGGAAACCTGTCTACGCAGAACGGCAACGGTGGTGGGTCCGTCAGCCTGGGCCTCCGGCGGGTGACCTCCGCCAAGGGCTGGGGAGAGGTAAATGGGGCGGGGGGGGAGGCTTTGACTCCCCTCGAAGGCACAGATAAAATATTTGTAGGTCAGGGTTGGGCTGTGGGGTCCTGGGTGCTCCCTGAGCTGGGTGTTTTTTCTTGCGGATGTTTCGTGACCCAAGTAAGTAACATCATCAGTACTAGGAGGGGATGGGCGTTTGAGAAGAGGAGGAGAAGGAGGAGGAAGGGAAGAGAAGAGAAGAGGGAGAAAGAAGGAAGGGGAAGGAGGAGGAGGAGGACTGAGGGAGTCCTGAGCTAGGTGGTTTCCTTGCAGACGTCTCATGACCCAACTAGGTAACATCATCAGGGCTAGGAGGGGATGGGGTTTTGTGAAGAGGACGTGGGTTGCTGAGCACTCAGGTTTTGGTCATGTGACTGTGATGGGGAGTCTCCAACTGCTGGGGCTTCAAATCTGGGTCCTAAGTAGATAGATCCAACCTAACTTCAAGCGGTCGCTAAGTAAGCAGTCGTAAGTCGAGGACTCTCTGTAACTTCTTTCTTTCCTTCTGTTGGCGCAGCTAGAATTCGGAGCGGGAGACCTGCAGGGCCCCGTCTTTGGCCTGAAGATGTTCCGGAACCTCACGCAACGATGGTAAGGCTTTGCGAAGGAACCGCAACACTCCCGCAAAGCTCCCTTCACAGCTGTCTCGCTTAGTGACCGAAACGTCGGGCTCCCTTGTGGCGGAGGAGCACCTGCAGTTCTGTTCCCCTTTCAGGGCGATTCTCACTTCCGCTCAATTTCTTTCCACTTTGGCCTCCCCGGCAGCTTCATCACCACTAACTGCGCCCTCCAGTTCTCCTCGCGAGGGATCCGTCCTGGACTTACGACGGTCCTGGCCCGGAATCTCGACAAGAACACCATGGGGTACCTGCAGTGGCGCTGGGGCCTCCAGTCAGCCATGAACAGCAGTCTGGTCCGGGACACCAAAACCAGCCACTTCACCCTGGCCTTCCAGGTGAGAAAGTTCTTCCTTTACGACCAGCAGAGGAAGTCCTCGGCTTACGACCTACTTGGGAGTGGAATTCCCACTCCTGAGCAAAGCCTTTGCTGAGTGAATGGTGCTCCATTTTCCCACCTTTTTTCTCTCCTCTGGTCACTGAGCGAATCGGGCTATTCCCTCGACTTTGCTTGTTTGATTTGATTTGATTTATTATTATTTATTTTTGGCCGTGTTTCAGCTGGGCATCCCTCACTCCTTCGTCATGGTCAGCTACCAGCACAAGTTCCAGGATGAAGATCAGACGCGGGTCAAAGGATCCCTGAAGTACGTCGGGGCTGGCGGGTGGGCGCTGAATGGGCCCTGGAGGATAAAGCTGATGGGGGGGGGGTGTTGTAAAATTGGGGTGGGGAAGCTGTTAGAGCGGTTGATCTCCGGAGGAAGATCGGGGCCACTGGCGACCCAGTCCTGTCTTTCCTCAGCAATATATTAAAATGTGTGGACTTCAGCTCCCAGAATCCCCCAGTTCCAAAGGCTGGCAAACACTGGTCTTTAATCGTTATCTTTATTACTTATTAGATTTTTTAAAAATCCTTCTGAGATGTGTGGCTGGATTAGGGTGGAATATAACATCAGAATCTTCCAGGGGTGCCCCAAATCAAGGAAAGCCAGTGGGATGTACAGGTAGAAGAGACCAGACAGCCGTTTGTCCAGAATGGTAAAGGGTCTCCTGCTTGAGCAGGGGGTTGGGCTAGATGACCTCCAAGGTCATTCCAAGCCTGTAATTCTATGATTCTGAGATGGGTAAGGTGCATGACAGACAGATGGAAGGAGGCAAGGAAAGGAAAGGGAAGGAAAGGAAAGGAAAGGAAAAGAAGGGAAGAGGAAGGAAGGAAGGAAGGAAGGAAGGAAGGAAGGATAGAACCACTTGCATCCAGAAGTTATGGGGACATCATTACTGGAGGTTTATAAGCAGAGATTGGACAGCCAATCTGAAATGGTAGGGGGTCTCCCGCTTGAGCAGGGGGCTGGACTAGAAGACCTCTGAGGTCCTTTCCAACTCGGCTATTCCACCTTCCTTTAAGATGTCCCTTTTTTTCCCTGGCAGGGCTGGCTTTTTCGGCACCATCGTGGAGTACGGAGCGGAGCGGAAGATCTCCAAACACAGCATCCTCGGGGCCACGGTCAGCGTGGGGCTGCCCCAGGGCGTCTCTTTGAAGATCAAGTGAGTGAGCTGCCCTCCGTCCCTGTCTTTCTGCTCGTCCCTGTCAGAACCGGCAGGATGGGGGAGGGGGGGCAGAGGTCTCCCCTGTGTGTAAATGCCAGGAGGGTTGGCATCGATGGGCATCTTCTAAGTCTAATGCAAGGGTCTTCAAACTGGGCCACTTTAAGGCTTGTGGACCTCAACACTCCCTGTCCAAAAATAAAAAATACACACAGCAACTAAAGAGATTCTAATTTGCAGATGCTAACATGCTTCTCCCTCCCTCTTTCTCCTGCCTTCTAGGCTAAACAGGGCCAGCCAGACGTATTTCTTCCCCATTCACTTGACGGATCAGCTCCTGCCCAGCGCCGTCTTCTACGCCACGGCTGGACCCCTGGTCTTCTACTTCGCCATGGACCGGCTGATCATCCAGCCTTATCTGCGGGCGCAGAAGGAGAAGTGAGTGCCCCAGAGCTGTGGGCAGGTCTGAAGGGGGTCTCTCGCCTAGCTGTGGTGGGAGCTGACCACCGGAGTTGAGGGCTTTGTAGCTTTGACCAGGAATGGCTTGTGGATGGATGGATGGATGGATGGAAAGAGACAGATGATAGGTAGGTAGGTAGATGACAGACAGACTACATGAGACACAAGGAGGGGAAGAAGGATGGATAGGTGGGTGGGTGGATGGATGGATGGAAAGAGAGAGATGATAGGGAGGGAGGTAGATGACAGACTACATAAGACGCAAGGAGGGGAAGAAGGATGGATAGATGGGTAGGTGGGTGGGTGGGTGGATGGATGGAAAGAGACAGATGATAGGTAGGTAGGTAGGTAGATGACAGACAGACTACATGAGACGCAAGGAGGGGAAGAAGGATGGGTGGATGGGTGGGTGGATGGATGGATGGAAAGAGATGATAGGGAGGGAGGGAGGTAGATGATAGACTACATGAGATGCAAGGAGAGGAAGAAGGATGGGTGGGTGGGTGGATGGATGGATGGATAGATGGATGGAAAGAGACAGATGATGATAGGTAGGTAGATGACAGACAGACAGACAGACAGACTACATGAGATGCAAGGAGGGGAAGAAGGATGGGTGGGTGGATGGATGGATGGAAAGAGAGAGATGATGGGAGGGAGGAAGGTAGATGATAGACAGACTACATGAGATGCAAGGAGAGGAAGAAGGATAGATGGGTGGGTGGATGGAAAGAGACAGATGATGATAGGTAGGTAGGTAGATGACAGACAGACAGACTACATGAGACGCAAGGAGGGGGAGAAGGATGGGTGGATGGATGGATGGAACAGCTTGCCTGAGAGATTGTGAGTGCCAGCACTTGGGAATGGCATTGCCAGGGATCCCCATACTCCTTTTGGGGCTCCCTTCCAGGGTGCTGGCAGAGAGAGAGAGGGAGGGAGAACCAATCTGGACCCCACGAAACCCCTCTTTTCTCGCATTAGAGACTTGGAGAAGCAACGGGAGAGCTGCTCCAGCGACACCTTGCAGAAGAAACACGAAGCTGAAGCTGCCGTAAGTGTCTCGTCCTCCTTTGAACATTACAGCAATATTTCTCAACCTTGGCAACTTCAAGACCTGAGGACTTCAACTCCCAGAATTCCCCAGCCAGAATGAGCATGGCTAGCTGGGGAATTCTGGGAGTTGAAGTCCACGGGTCTTAAAGTCACCAAGGTTGAGAAACACGTATTTCCAGAACAGGTCTTCTCTTGAGTCGGAGAAGAAGCCGGCCTGGCTTTCTCCAACCGACTTCCCGAGGCCCTCAGCAGCCTGCCAAACAAACAAGCCACAAACAGATCAGGGCTTGATAATAACAGCCCACCAAAAGCCTGACATTCTTAACCTTGTAAGCGGAGCAGCTTAAGGTCTGCCAGCTTCATTCTCTCTCCTCCTCCTCCTCCGCTGCGCAGGTGCGGCTGATGCAGGAGTCCGTCCGGAGGATCATTGAGGCCGAGGAAGCCAGGATGGGTGCGTAAAGCTGGGTTGTCTCTTTTGCCGGCCTTCTGCCCCTACTTTGAGGCCCTGCTTCGACTAACACCTCCCCGAATCTAACCCGGTCGCCTTCTTGCCCCTCCAAGGCCTGATTATCGTCAACGCCTGGTACGGGAAGTTCGTCAACGACCAGAGCAGGCGGGACGAGAAGGCCAGGGTGATTGACGTGACGGTGCCCTTACAGTGCCTGGTCAAGGATTCGAAACTCATCCTCACTGAAGCCTCCAAGGTAAGGACGGGGCTAGGACGGAGAGAGGCAGAGGCGTGTTTTCCTGGCTCTTTTCTGCTCAGGATCCGGCCTCTTGGTTGCCGCTCTGCACGAGCTCAGGGGCTCTCTTCTCCCACCGCGGTCCAAGCAACCCTCCTTTTGAACTCCCGCAGGCCGGCCTGCCCGGATTCTACGACCCTTGCATTGGCGAAGACAAGAGCTTGAAAGTCCTCTACCAGTTTCGCGGCGTTCTCCACCAAGTGATGTCGGCGGACAACGAGGCCCTTCGGATACCAAAGCAGTGTGAGTGCTGGCCCTTTAAATCTCCTGCTTGAGCGGGGGTGGGTGGGGGGGGCTGGACTAGAAGACCTCTGTGGTCCCTTCCAGCTCCATTCTGATTCTAAATAATATTTTCTTCCAAAACCACATTAACTGGGCATAGCTTGCCCGTGAATTTGCTACCCCGACTTAAATTCTGTTAATATGTTTACTTATACGCCGCCGATCTCCCTGCGCAAAACGACTCTTTATTTACCATCAAATTTTCCCACGGCACCGTATTTATTCCCCCCCAATTTTGCTTTCCCAATCTTGCACGGTCTGGCTTTTTTCATCAAGATCACGTGAAGTATTAATACCACTTTACAATGCCTTAGTAAGGCCACACTTGGAATACTGCATCCAGTTTTGTCACCACAATGTAAAAAAGATGCTGAGACTCTAGAAAGAGTGCAGAGAAGAGCAACAAAGATGATTAGGGGACTGGAGGCTAAAACATATATAAGGAACGGTTGCTGGAATTGGGGATGTCTAGTTTAACGAACAGAAGGACGAGGGGGGACATGATAGCAGTCTTCCAGTATCTCAGGGGCTGCCCCAAGGAAGAGGGAGTCAAGCTATTCTCCAAAGCGCCTGAAGGCAGGACAAGAAGCCACGGGTGGAAACTGATCAAGGAGAGAAGCAACCTAGAACTAAGGAGAAACTTCCTGACAGTGAGAACAATTAACCAGTGGAACAACCTGCCTCCAGAAGTGGTGAATGCTCCAACACTGGAAGTTTTTAAGAAGAGACTGGACAGCCGTCTGTCTGAAATGGTGTAGGGTTCCTGCCTGGGCAGGGGGTTGGACTCGATGACCTCCAAGGTCCCTTCCAACTTTATTATTATTATTATTATAAGTTGCATATCTTGGTCAGAGGTGACCTCTGCAGACCCCATCAGCATATAAATGTAAAGCTATATAAAAAAACAGAGGTTTTTATCCTGCTAAATTGCCTCTTTTGAGACTTCCTTCCCCTGTGTTTGTTATATGCCCGTCATATTTTAATTTCTCTTTTATTTTTCTCTTCCTCCTCGCTTGTTCCGCCAACAGCCCACCGGATCGATATGGACAGCTAATGCAGCAGCGGGGAGCTGCCTGGGGGAGGCGCCCCCGGCTCGGCAGAAACAGAACCCCCCCCCCTCTTCCCTTTCTGGATTCGAACCGGCTTCACACCCTTTGGACAAGCAACTTCCTCTAGGGGGGAACAAAAAAAATATTAGGTGGCTTTCGCACCCGTGACCTTGGCAGAGAGAAGGAACCGCAGCCACCTATTTTACAGGTGCCCAGGGTGCTCCCCCCTCGTCCTCCATCACCTGGGCACGCTGTGGGACAGGAGGGTCCAGGACCAACCTCCCCCCCCTCAAAAAAAACCCCCACAGCCCTTGTCAAAGAGGCAAGGTCAGTTTTAACCACTCAATCACCCAACACTTCCGGCATCCAGAGTCTGCCTGCGTTTCTTTCACCTCCGCAGATTTCCGACTCTCGCCAACCTTCAGCGTTGTAAACCTTGCTGCTCTCGTCTCTCTCTCTCTCTCTCTCTAACCCAGCAGCGTAAAAACGTGAAAAAGAAGGGAAAAATAATTAGCCATCCGCCCGGTTAGATACCAGAGGCTGGCAGTGTGTCCACTCCGGGCATCGCTGACCCGATGGGATCCCGCTAGCCTTCTTTCTTGGTCAAATCAGGATCTTCGGCCGTCAAGATCAGCCACCGTCACCCGGCAAGGCTCCAGGCTACTTAAGACTCTCATCTCCCAACACCGCAGGGTTGGCCTACACCAAATGCCGAAGCGGACCGTGGCTCTCGTCGCCTTCCTTTGCGGATCGGCTCTTTGGGGAAAGACACCCCCCCCCAAGTTTCTGAATTGCAGCCTCTTCCCAGATGTTGGGAATCTGTCGGCTCCTTTCTTCTCCTCGATCCTGGAAAGGCTGTGGTCAACTCTGAAACCAGGTATTTCCCCCACATCTTAGGCCAACGTCCGTCAGGCAGAAAAGTTTTTGGTCCTTTGGTTCACACACTTCCCGAAAATTCCTTTCTCCCTGCGCTGCTCATCTAATTTTTCCTTCTGGGGTTGAGATATTACTACTACTACTAATAATAATAATCGCAGCAGCCCAAAACCACACACTGTTGTTTTATTCCCGTTCACCGTTACTCGCTCTTTGCAACCAACCCAGAGCCAGCCCTGGAACCCGCTGCCGAAGGGCTCCATCTTTGCTGACGGACAGCAATTTTGTGATCCCCTCCCACCCTCCCCATCAATGAGCTCCTGAGGGTGCGTGTGTGCGTGCGTGTGTGTGTGTGTGTGGAGGGGGGTGTTGCCTCTGGTTTTTCCTGTAACATCGAAGGACAATAAAACCACCCAATTTTGTGAAGGACAGAGTCTGTGTGAGATGGGGAGGGGGTTGGAGGACCAATTAAGGGGTGTGTGTGTTGGGGATGGCACTGCCAGAAGAGAAGGGGGGGAAAAAAAATATCTCTGTGTGGATTTACAGAGCATTGCTAAATGGTGGTTGAGTGTAGAACGTAGAATCATAAGAGCTGGAAGGGACCTCAGAGGTCATCCAGACCAACCCCCTGCTCCGGCAGGAGACCTTATATACCATCCAGGATAAACAGTTGTCCAGTCTTCGAATAAGGCACCGTGGTTGGGTTAATGGGTTGATACCTGAACTTTTTCTTTCTTATCGAAAGATTTTCTTTGCCCCCTTGTGCATCAAGATGCATTTTGCGGTTTGTAGAGAAAGGGAAAGAAAGAGACCGGCCCCTTTTTCACACACTTGCAAATTAAAGTTTGGGCCTTCCCCCCTCCCCCCCAGACAAAATCCAAACATCAACATAGATTGTAAATCTTGCCAAAGCTTTTAAAATATTTTGTGTAGTCCCTTTGTTTCAAATGTTCACCCTAGAGCCGTATTCCCCACATTTTAAGATGGGTGGATTTCAACCCACATTCCTAGCGCTTCGCTTGGGAGCCGGTGGTACTTGGGATGCTGCGCGCATGCGCATCCGCGAGTCAGCGTCATAGAGGTAGAGCGAGGAAAGGGGAACTTTGCAACTCCTCCTTCCGGCTGCCAGGCGGACTTCGCCAGCCAGAAGGCGAAATAGGAGCCGGATCCCGCGGGGTGGAAGCGCTTTCTCCTTCCCGTTCATTCCTGTCGGTCCTCGGCAGGCCGGCTGGCTTCTCTACCGGGTGGTTATCCGCCTGCAAACCCGACATTCGCTTAGCTTTGGGCATCGCCCTCACCAAAAATGGCGGCCGTGGCTTCCTTTCCCCTGGATTCCCGTCCTTTTGGCTAGATCCTTCCTGCCCGGCTCCACTGCCCCCCTCTTTGCAGAGAGCCGAAGGTGCTGGGGTTATTTTGCACATGCTCAGAAGCCGTGGCGAATCTTGCTCCGTTGGGTTTGCAAACCTGGGGCTTTTCTTGCAAAGACACCCCCCCCCCGGAAACTCTGCAGTCTTTAGCAACTGAAAAGCATGCATTTTGCACCACGTTCATTGCAAGGTGTTTTTTGTTGTTTTTGCAAGGGGGCTGATTCCTCCATGTTGCAAATTGCTACAACAGCCCTGCAGAGTAGACCAGGACTGTCCCTTTGGAGCATTTTTCAAAGGCGAACCTCCAGTGTCCAATACAGCAGCAGAAACACAGGATACCCCCAAAGGTGCTTTTTCACAAGGCAACAGGAATTTCTTGGGTTTTTGTTTTTTTTTAAAGCAACATAAATTTTGACCTCAATTGTGATCCTAAGTCAAAGACCACCTATAATCTAAAAGAAAACATTGATTTATTGATCGGGGTGCAATTATACCCGGAAATTACCATATCACCTGATTTCTTTGCATTATTTTTAAGTCGTTTTGGAAGGGGGGGTGTCAGAAGAAAGCAGCTGGCAGACAGGCGAGAGAGGGATTCGAACTCAGACACAGGATTCCATAAAACAAATAATTTTAATTGTTTTAAAAAATTAAAGCTCTTGAACTGAGATTGTACACAGACGAAACCCTCGATACACGGCTGTTTGGGGGCAGGGGGCTGAAGACCTCGGCGGTTTTTGGCGATAGGGACACCCCCCCCCCCGCCCCATCAAACGTGGCTAACCAAAGAAGAAAGGAACGGAAAAATAGTCCTGGCATAGAGTCCCCAAAAGAAACCGGAAATTTCCTCCACGCACGACAGCCGGAGATTTTCCAGTGGGATGGCTGGATGGTTCCCACGTTAAGAGAGCGATCTGAGTGGATCTTGCAGAGTGAAGGATCCAGGAATCCACCCTTCTCCAGACTGACTTTTGGGACGCAGCCAAAGGCTTTCACACCACAACACCAGAAACAGACCAGGAATTTCTTACCAATCAAAAGATTACGGGGAAGGGGGGGGTCTTCCCCCCACTTTCTCCCCCCACCCATCAGAGAAGACTTTTGTGCCTCTTTAAAAAAGGTCCAAAAAGCAGCACCGACTGACAGCTGAACCGAGGTCCACCCCTCCCTAGCCCCCTCACCCACTCATCCCATTGGGCTGTCCAGCTTTTCGGACCTTCGGCTCGTTCTCAAAGCACCAGGAAAAAAGTTCGTCCTTCCCCCCTCCCTAAAGGAGAGGGGCAATTCCCCTTTTTTATAGCGCGGCTGAAATCTTGTCACTGGGATAGAGGGGTCCCAGTGCTCCTGCTGTCAAAATAAGATTATTATTATTATTTTGCATCGTTCCCGTCTTTCCAAACTCAGCTCGTGGGAGGTTGTTCCAGAATCAAGGGCTTCCCAAATCTTTGGACTGACCTCTGGGAGAAAGAGAGTCACTTCTGTAAACACTCCCGATCTCCAAATCTGTGCTTCGAATAACGAGAGTTTATATATATATATATATAATTTTTTCTCGTCTCCTGTAGAGATACCTTTTGTGGATCTGGTTTGCACCTCAATCCCTCCCCGAATGGGGTCCTGGTCAGCTCCCCGTTATTTCCCTTTGTGCTCCCAAGACAAGGAGACCAGAAAAGACCCTCCCAGACCCCCCTTCACCCCACTTTTGCAGCCGGGAATCAGTTCGACTCCCAACGGGAAATCAGGCGATCCAGAAGATTGGAGGGTCTCACTCGCTCTCCGCCGCGGCCCTACTGACTCAAACCCCCCAAATTTTGAGGTTCGGCACCCACCAGCTCCCAACTGGCTTAGTCCAGGAAGTGCCGGCGGGAGCCCGTCCGGGAACGGCTGGACCGTCGGATGTCGAATTTGGAATCTCGGCATTTCTGGCAGACGTAAACCTCGGGAACGTTGGATTTGCGGATTTTGGCACAGGAGAGGTGGATCCAGGTGTGGCATTCCTTGCACTCGATCATGGGGCGCCCGGCGAAGGGCTTCATGCAGAAGCAGGTGACCAGGTCCCAGGAGTCGTCATCTGTCAAGGTCCGGAAAAAAGGGGGGGGTCAGTGGAGGAGAAAGTCCGGGAGAGTCAGAAAAATGGGAAACTCCAGTTCTAAGGTGGCCAGGATTCAGCGCACCTGACTGGCATCTATTTGGTGTATTATTTATTATCCCGCATTTATTATTTCTATCAATATTTCAGGGGGCTGAACCTACCCAACAGCCCTCCCTCTTCCTATTTTCCTCACAACGACAACCCTGTGGGGTGTGTTTAGCTGAGAGGGAGAGGGACTGGCCAAAAGTCACCAAGATTGAGAAACACCGCTGAGGAGATACCCCATCTTCTAACGGTCTGTAGCCCACTGACCCCTCTCTCTCGCTCCTCACCATCTTCATACAGGGCTCCGCGTTCGAGAGATTCCCACCAGGGTTACCTGAATCCACCATGATGTCCTCATCGTCTCCGCTGCCGTCCTCGTCTCGGAAGACCACCTGCTTCCCTTGTCGTATGATGGTCCTCTTGCCCACCGTTTGGACAAGGCCCTGCTCCTCCGGCGCAGCGGCTGCGTAGGGGGGATTCGACGGGGTGTCCGAATCCCAGGCGGAGCAGCGGCCTGTGGAGGACTGAGCGTCCCCTTCGGAGGACGGGCTGAGCGGGGTCTCGGCGTACGGCTCTTCTCCTTCTCTCTCCCGCAGCCTTTCCTCTTCTTCGTTTTCTTCCGGGTACTTGACGTCTGGCAGCGCTGTGTCCTTCCTCACCAGCCGCCGTTTCTTCCGGAACTTCTCCATTTTTTTCCGGTCCACCAAAAATCCGTTGGGCTTTGTCCACTGGTAGAGCGAGGAATAGGCCTTGCCATGCTTGAGTTGACTGAAGCTCTTCCGGGATTTTCCTGGCAGGGAGAGGGGTCCCAAAGGAGTCTCCCCTCCATCGCTGTCAATGGCCCCCCGGGTACTGTTGGGGGAGCTGGCGCTGCTCCAGCCGGACATGTCCTGCAGGCACAAAAAACTCTTTAAAACAGCCACATCGATTTTTATTTTCTTTAGAAAGTGCTATGGATTAAGGCGGCCTGGAAATTCGAGGTGGGGGGGAGAAAAGCACCCCCTTTTTGCAGCTCTTTCAAAGCCGCCACAGCATTTCCAAGGATATGGGAGGAATCACCAAGCCTGTGTGAGTTCCAACTGTGGCTGTTTCCTTCAACCTTCTCCTGCCCTGTTTCTGCATCTTTTCTCCCGCAGAACAAAGATGCCCTCGGCAGCCCTTGCAGAAAAGATGCGGCAACTTGAATGAGTTTCAGGCTTGGCCCACATTCCCCACCCCCCACCCCATTTGTGGATCTCTTCTCAAGCATCACGAGGGAGGGATCCTGAGAAAAGTTCCTTAGTGGCTGTGCAGTTGAAGAAAGCAAGCAATCACAGAAGAGATGTGGCAGCTTTCAACAGTTCCAGTTGTGTCCCACAGTTCCTTTCCTCCCGCCTATTTCTGCATCTTTTCTCAAGCCCTACAAGGGTCCCAGGGAACAGCCACATTTGGCTGTGCATTTGCAGAGAAGATGCAACAGCAGAGAAGATGCGGCAGCCTTAAAGAATGCCCAAGTTTCCGCACCCCCTCCCATTTCTGCATCTTTTCTCATACACCGCAAATCGCCCTGGGGGGGGGCGGGGACAGCCACTCTCGGGAGCTGCCCAATTACAGAAAGGAGGTGGCAGTTTTAATAGTCCACCTGTGGCCCCCATTCCCTCCCCCACCCTCCTCTTTCTGCATCTTTTCTCAATCCTTATAAGGGTCCTGGCAAACAGCCATTCTTCCCAAAAGACGCGGCAGCTTTCAAGAGTGCCAGTAACGCCCCACGTTCCCTCCCACCCACCCACCCTTCTGAATCTTTTCTCATGCGTGACAAGAGTCCCCAGTGGGAGGGGGAGACAGCCTCTTTGTGGCTGTGCGGTTGCAGAAAAGATGCAAGGGCAGAAACGATGTGGCGGCTTTAAAGAGTTCCAGCCCTCACTCACATTCCCCCCCCTGCCTTTCTGAAGCAGCCTAGACTCCTGCTAACCTTGGTTGGTGGCCCCTGCTGGCATCCCAGGCAGGGAAACGCGATCTTTGTCCTTTTGCAGCCCTGGGCAAAGCCTCCAAAAGCTGGGGTGTCCCACGCCACCCCACCCCCGCCCCCCAATTCTCCTCCAGCCTCCCCCCCCACTCCCCTTTCTTTCGCTCAGCTGGTCAAAGGACAGGATCCCAGCCCTTTTTGCCGATGAGCCCAGCTTCCCCCTCCCGCCGCCGGCCCTGGCTGCCCGGCAGGACTTTGCAAGACCCCCTTCCCGGGGCTCCCCCCGCCCCGAAAAAAGCCCCACCTCGTGCGGGTACGGGATGTACCCCGCGTAGGCCAGGACGAAGGTGCAAAAGTTGTTGAAATCCTCCACCGTCCGGCAGCGCTTGGAGCCCGGGGGGAAATCCTGCGAAGGAGAGAGGCGGGGGGGGGGGCAGAGAGAGAGNGCAGAAAGGGGGAAAGCTGCCCCTGGGGGGCGCGGAAGGGGACACCCCCCATGCAAACGCCCCCTCCTCGTTGCATTCCAGCAAATCGGCACGGGGGGGGTCCTTTTGCAGCAGGAGGGGGGCTGCTTTCTCCCACTCCCCCAATCTCCGTGGGCGTGGCCAGGGGTCCCCGGTGTCAGCCCCGGGGAGAGGGATGCCCCGGGGGGGGGACTCACTTCGGGGGGCGGCGGGGAAGCGCAGGAGTCCGAGTCCATGGCGGGGGTCTCCTCCGGCGGCGTCGCCCGGTACCGGCAGCGGGGTTTGGGGTGGGCGGGGAGAGGGGGAGCCCCGCCCTGCAAGGCTAGGGGGAGATTTGCCCCCCCCTTCGTAGGCTCCGCCTCTACTCGCAGCTGCTGCGCCTGCGCGCCGCGCGCCGCTTGCCGGGAATCGTAGTTCCCGTTCCGAGTTAGGCAGCTTAGCTTTCAGTTGGCGCATGCGTATCGCCCGGCCACGCGCAGGCCATGCCGGGAAACGTAGTCCAAAGCCTCCGCTAGGGGCTTTTCCAGACACTTTGATATTATTTCTCTCCCACCCACCTCCCCCGTTGCTAAAATGGAGGAAGGATTTTTATTTTTTTATTTCCACCACCCCCCTTGGAGTTTTTTTCGTCTATTAGGGCTCCTTTCCCGTTCTTGCGCCCGAAGCCGAGGGGATGCGATGGGGGCGAATGTTCCTCCTTCCCCCATGAGGACTAGAAACTCGCCTGCTTTGCACCCTCCTTTTAAAATTAATGGCGCTCATTTGCATTTGAAGCCCGGTGCTCAGCAGCAAAGAAAGGAGAGATGATGGGCCATAACTTGAGAAAGGGCTGGTTTTCCCCCTCCCCCAAAAAGGAGAGTGGGTATAATTGATACCTTTTGTTTTGCTTTGATTTCTGCTTTTTTGTTTTCTTTCTTTCTTTTTTCAGTGTGTCTGAAGTTGGAGGGGTTTGGCTCCAGTGCATCATCTGGGATTGTGCTTGTGGTGGGGAAACGGGAGAAAAATAGAAAAATAACCTGGTCCTTCCCCATTTCTTTGGGGTGCTGTTTACAAGATTTACAATCTCCCCAAATAGCAACTCCGGAGTCAAAGGCATCGGCTTTCCTAAACTCTCCTTGTGCATAGTAACCCTTTTGGATTCCGAAGCAAGGAAATATTTGACAGGCAGTCCTAGCCTTACGACAATTGCCCCCCCACAATTTTCCGTTGCTAAGCAAGACCGTTGTTAAGGGGGTTCTGCCTCTTTACGACCATTCTTGCTGTGTGAAGCGAATCACTGCAGATGCTAAACTAATCACACCGTTATTATCCGGCTTTCCCTATTGGCTTTGCTTCTTAGAAGGTCCCAAAACGGGCATCACATCACCTGGGGGGACTCTGCCACCGTCATAAGTACGAGCCAGTCGCCGAGAGTCCGCATTTTGATCACGTGACCACAAGGGATGCCACAGTGGTTCGAAAATGCGAATCGGTCATAAGTTACCTTTTTTCAGGGCAGTTGTAGTTTGGAAAGGTCATTAAATGGATCGTTGCAAGCCGAGGACGACCTGTATTAAATTTCCACTCTGCCTTTTATCACTTCGTACGTTCGGTGTGTAAACAACTCCAGACGGACACGGACAGGTGAGGCAAGGGAAGAAGACCCCAGAAGCAGCCTCTAAATTCAGAAATGTCAGGGACCACCCAAAATAACAGCCGTGCTTCTTCTGCCCTTGAACCCTCCTGTCTCCCCGGCTTTGCCAGGGGTCCCCAAATCCCCTTCAAGGGACAGGAGTGACCGACAGACCGCCTGGACTTCCAATTCGCTGCAGCTTTCAACCGTAGCCTCCAAAAAGGGGGTCCCATCTTGAAACATAATTGGGAAAACAAATTAAGAAATGGCTGCAGAAGAAGCTCAGTAAAGGCAATCCTCTCGACTTCCAACGATTCGTTTAGTGACCGTTTGAAGTTACAGTGATGTCATTCACACTTATGACCTTCCTTTGCATTTGGCACTATGCTGGCACACGGTTTGCCCCCCCCCTCCGTCTCAGGAGGGTGTTGACAGCTAGGATGCCTCCTTGCATAAGCGCCACGTTGGCACGGGGTTCAAGTCACGGGGCAATCCAGCGCCTCGTTCCCCAACCAGGCGCCCGTGAGGCTGCTTTGATTTGCAAGAATTTGGGGGGGGGGGGGCAGGATCGCTCGCCTTTGGCTGAACTGGCTCCTGGCATCTCTCTCTCTCTCTCTCTCTCTCTCTCTCTGTGTGTGTGTGTGTGTGTGTGTGTGTGTTAGAATCCGAGCAGGGCAGCCCCCCCCCCGCCCCAAGCTTGCATCGGACCAGCGGGACTCTGCACCCGGGTCCACCCAGCCGCCCCTTCCCCAACCGGGCGCCCCCAAGCCCTCTCCGCTTTGCCAGCCTTCAAGGAGAGGGTTCGGGTGGGGGGATCCTTGCAGGGCAGCCCCCTCCCCAAGAGGCGGACCACCCCCCTCCCCGCCCCTCCGAGGACCGCCCAGGAGGCGGGCCCCTCGCGCGGGAGGAGCCCCGCGCCATCCCCGCGCGCTCAGTCCGCCCCTTCCAGCCATGGAGGCGGAAGAAGCGGCGCACGCCTCGGCCCTCCTGCGCGGCCTGGCCGGGCTGCGCGCCGAGCGGGCGCTGCTGGACGTGACCCTCCTGGCCGGCACGGGCGAGGAATTCGGCGCGCACCGCGCCGTGCTGGCCGCGGCTTCGGGCTACTTCCGCGCCATGTTCGCCGGCGGCTTGCGCGAAGCCCGAGCCTCCCGGGTGAGGCTGCACGGGGTGGAGCCGGACTGCCTGGCGCTGCTGCTGGACTTCGCCTACACCGGCCGCCTGGGCGCCCTGAGCGGGGAGCCGCAGCTGGCCGAGCGCCTCCTGCGCGCCGCCGACCTGCTCCAGTTCCCCGCGGTCAAGGCTGCCTGCGGCGCCTGGCTGGCCGCCCGCCTGGAGCCCTGCGCCGCCCTGGACCTGCAGGACTTCGGCGAGACCTTCGCCTGCGCCCCGCTGGCCGAGGCCGCCCGCCGCTGCGTCCTGCGCCACGCGGCCGACCCGGACGGGGAGCTGGGCGCGCAGCTGGAGCGCGTCCCCTTGGCCCGGCTGGTCTCCTACCTGCGCGAGGACGCGCTGCGCGTGCCCAAGGAGGAGGCCGCCTTCGCCCTGGCCCTGCGCTGGGTGCGCGCCGAGCCGGGATCGCGCGCGGGGCTCCTGCCCCAGCTGCTGGCCCACGTGCGCCTGCCCTTCGTGCGCCGCTTCGCCCTGCTGGCGCAAGTGGAGGGCGAGCCGCTGGTGGCCCGATCCGCCGCCTGCCTGCGCCTGGTGGCCGAGGCCCGGCTCTTCCAAGCCGGCCGGCTGGACCGGCACGAGGGAGCGCCCTGCGCCCGCCTGCGCCCGCGCCCCTCCACCGGGCTGGCCGAGCTGCTGGTGGTGCTGGGCGGATGCGACCGGGATTGCGACGAGCTGGCGACCGTGGACGGCTTCAACCCGCGCACGGGCCACTGGCGCTACCTGGCCGAGTTCCCCGAGCACCTGGGAGGCGGGTACAGCGCGGTTGCCCTGGGCAACGATGTCTACGTCACCGGTGAGTGGACCCCCCCTCGCACCCCTGAGCCCCCTTCTTGACTTAGGATCGCGCCTGCACTTGGAGGGGGGCAGCGATGCACTGCTGGGGCGTTGAGAGCGGAGGGGCGGATTTCGGTGAACCCCGAACGGGAAACCAGTCTCCGGGAGACAGCGAGTTCTAGTTCTGTAATAGGAAAGCCGGCTGGGTGACTTTGGCCCAAATATTCTAGTTCTGGCTTAGACATGAAAGCCAGCTGGGGGACCCTGTGCCAGTCGCCAGGAGATGGTGAGTTCTAGTATCGCCTTAGGCAGCCAAGCAAGGCCGGGTGACTTCAAGCCAATCACCAGGAGACAGTGCATTCTAGTACCAGGTTGGGCTGGCCTACTCATACCTAAGGTGTGACTAGAACTCACCGTCTCCTGGTGATTGGCCCAACGTCACCCGGTCAGCTTTCATGCCTCAGGCAGGACTAGAACTCACCGACTCCTGGTGATTAACCCAAAGTCACCCAGCCGGCTTTCATGCGTAAGCTGGGACTAGAACTCGCCATCTCCTGGTGATTAACCCAAAGTCACCCAGCCGGCTTTCATGCGTAAGCTGGGACTAGAACTCCCCTTTCCAGCCTGGTGCCCTCCTCACTAGCCCAAGTGGACTCTCTATCCCTTCTCACCGCTCTACTTTATCGCTCTTCTCTGCAGGCGGCTCCGACGGCTCGCGGCTCTACGACTGCGTCTGGCGCTACAACTCCAGCGTGAACGAGTGGACGGAGGTGTCCCCCATGCTGAAAGCCCGCGAGTACCACAGCTCGGCTGTCTTGGACGGCCTCCTCTACATCGTGGCGGCCGACAGCACCGAGCGCTACGACCACACGCTGGACAGCTGGGAGGTGCTGCAGCCCATGCTCTACCCCATGGACGACTGCTCCACCACCACCTACCGCGGGAAGCTCTACGCCACCGGCTCCCTGGCCGGGAAGGAGTCCCTGGTCATGCAGTGCTACGACCCCGGGTCGGATCTGTGGTCCCTGGTCAACTGTGGGCCCCTGCCCCCCTGGTCCTTCGCCCCCAAGGCGGTCACCCTTGGGGGGCTCATGTACTTCATCAGGTAAGAGGGGCAGAGTGGGAAAACGTGCAGAAAGACTCCACTAGGGCACGGGAAGTCAAGGGCAGAAAAATCCCCAAACGGCCATTATATTTATATTGGAAAATACAGATACTCCTCAAGTTACAACAGTTCGTTCGAAGTTACAACGGCATTGAAAAAAAGCGACACGTGACCGTTTTTCAAACTTACGACCGATGTTTACGGCATCCCCGTGGTCAAAATTCGGATGCTTGGCAATTGACTCGGATTTATGACGGCCGCAGTGTCCCGGGCTCACACCATCCCCTTTTGCGACCTTGTGACAAGGAATGGTTTAGAGTAGAATAAGAGCTGGAAGGGACCTTAGAGGTCTTCTAGTCCAGCCCCCTGCTCGAGCAGGAGAACGTGTGAGGAAGGCAGATTCATTTAACAACCATGTGGCTTAACGACTGCAGTGGTTCACTTAACAACCGAGGGAAGAAAAGGTCGTAAACTGGGGCAAAACTCACTTAACGACTGTCTTGCTTAGCGGCAGAAATTTTGGGCTCCGTCGTAAGTTGAGGACTGCCTGTACTTAAGTGAACACAGGCCAACATAAGGCCAACAAGCTCTGATTGACAAGACCCAGACTTTCCCTTCCTGGCAAATCTTGAAAACTTCCAGTGATCCAGCTGGAGTTTCCTGGCCTTAAAAGAGGTTTTTTTTCCCCTTTCCTTTTCTTTTTTCTCCCAAAAAAGGACCTCTGCTAAAAGCAAAGCAAAGGTGACAAAAGTAGGACTTTTTACAAGTTCTGCCTTTTCCAGAGAGCTGTCTGTAAAAATAGCACCAGTTTTCCAGAGGCTCTTAAGATTATCTGAAGGGATGGTGGTTGTTCCCTGTGGAAAGAAACCAGCTCTTGATTAAAAAATATATATATATGAGGTTATCAGGGCTTCTCTCTGCTTTTTTTGGAGGTGCTGCATTGCACCGGGAGACGCCGCGAATCGGACGGGGGGGAGAGGAGGAACTGTTTCCTGGGTGCCAAAAAAAATCTCCCTTTCCTGCTTTGGGCGGACGGCGTGACTCGCCTGCGGGGGTCTTATCGGAGCCGAAGGGCTGCTGATCGGACCACTTGAGGGTTTTAGCCAAACATGGTCTTTCAGGGGGCTTGAAGCAAGGCCTGGAACTCGTCCCGGCCTTATCGTTCAGATAAAGGCTGTTTGTGGCTGGCTGATTGCTAGGAGCCTCGTTGGCATTTCCACGCACTGGGTGTGCCAACGTGGATGGGCACCATGGCTGCTGCTAAGAGGGGTTTGCAGGCAAGGACCCAGTTCAGACATTCACTCCCGCTCGGAAAGCTGGGGACGGTTCTCCACACAGCCCTCTCAGAATAAGGGAGCTGGAAGGGACCTCGGAGGTCTTCTAGTCCAGCCCCCTGCTCAAGCAGGAGACACGTTCATATAGAATAACAATAAAAGTTGGAAGGGACCTTGGAGGTCTTCTAGTCCAACCCCCTGCTCAAGCAGGAGACCCTACACCATTCCAGACAGGTGGCTGTCTAGTCTGTTCTTGGAAACCTCCAGCGACAGAGCACCCACAACCTCAGGTGGCAAGCCGTTCCACCGGTTAATTATTCCAAAAGTCAGGAATTTTTTCCCTTAATTCTAGATTGGGGCTCCTGCACTAGCTGAAGTCAAGCTAGGGGTTTGAGGGGCATTAAAGAGTGGAAAACCTAGTTTGTTTGATTGGATGCCGCCTTTATCGTGGTTACAAACATACCTTTCTCCTTCTCCTATGTTCACCATAACCACAGGACCACGGGGATGCTGCCACGGTCATAAACGTGGAAAACGGTCCTAAGTTATCTTTTTCAGTGCCATCGTAACTGCGGTCACTAAACGGATCATCGTTAAGTCGAAGCCCTGCCTCGAATAGCCAAATACGACAAGGCAGCTTTCAGGGCGGTCAGTTTCCTGAGGATCCACCCATTTTAGCACACTTTATGCCCATTTCTGATCCATTTCCTCCTTCGCCCACATTCCTCTTTGCAAAAAATCAGGACGTTATCCGGAGCGCCACCGTCATTTTAGGGAACGGGACGGCCCCTCTTTCTCCCTGTCACCACCATCCCCTTTATGGGCTCTGGAGACAAACGAGGAATGCATGCCAGGAATTCTTGCTGGCCTTTTTCATAACTGAAATTAGCAGCTGGTCCCCGCGGATTTTCCTCACTCCAGATTTTTCCGGAGCTTAAGACATGCTTTAAATTCCTCGCCGATCCCAAGAACAACTTTCCCGTTGTGAAGCCAGACGGGAAAAAAAAAACTCCGGTGATCGTTTGCCTCTGGAGTCCGCCCGGCATAATTTCCTCCCAAAGGTTCTTCGAACGGGGGGAAAAAAAATCCTGCAAATTTCCCAAAACGATGTGGGCTCAATTGTTGCTTTTTTGCACGCTATACAGTCGGCCCTCAACTTACAACGCTTCCTTTAGTGACTGTTCAAAGCGACAACGGCAGAGGAAAAAATGGCTTAGGACCATTTTTCACCCTGACCGTCACAGCATCCTCATGATCACGGGATTAAAATTCAGCCGCTTGGCAACTGACTCATAGTTATGACGGTCGCAGCGTCCCGGGGAGTCATGCGATCCCCTTTTGCGACTCAGTTACTAGCTTAAGAACTGCAACGATTCGCTTAAGAACCGTGGCAAGAAAAGTTGTAAAACGGGGTAAAAGTCGCTTGAATGTCTCACTTAGCGACGGAAATCTTGGGGGCTCGATTGTGGTCGTAAGTCGAGGACTGCCTGTCATGTGGTTGAAATTTTGGCCTCCTGTTTGGGGCAGCCCCAAGGGGTTTGTGTCTGCAGTGTGGAGGTGACAAATGTCTTTTTTTTTTCCCACCATCACTCTTCCTCTCTTCCCCCCCCCTCCATCTGCACACCTGTTGCTGTCACACTTGGCATGTCACAATCGGCCAAGGAACATTCTGTGCTTAGCTCACAACTCCTGGCCGACAACTGTTCTAGAAGGTTGTTGCTAAAACAGGCAAAGAAGGGCTGATTTTGTATATATATATTTCGCATTTGTGCCGTTTTGTAAGCAGCCCAAACCACCAGGAATATTAGGAAAAAACTTACATTTTGTGAAAAACTTTCCATCAAGAAATCTGAGATTTTTCTTTATATACCCCTAACTCAGCCCCTCCACCTTGCTGGCGAATGCGTCTAAAGTGTTAATTGTGAATAATAATTATTATTAATCGTTATCAATTATTTTTCTTGTCTTCCAGAGATGACTCAGCTGAAGTTGATGTCTATAACCCAGCCAAGAACCAGTGGGACAAAATCCCTCCAATGCTCCAGGTAGGTAGGGGGTCTTGCAAATTTAAGAGGGGTGGACTTCAATTCTCAGAATTATCTTTTAACACCATCAAACAGCAACATCTGCCTCTCCGGGGTGCTCGAGAAGGACTCAGTGGGTGGATAAAAATGCCAACTCCAGTTTTTTTTAGAAAATTTTAACACCACAACTTTAAAATATTTGGTTTTAATTTGGTTTTATTTGGCGGGGATTGTGGGTATGTTTCTGTTTTAAATATGTTGTGAGCCGCCCTGAGTCCCGTCGGGAGAAGGGCGGGATATAAATCAAATAAAATGAAATGAAATGAAATGAAACATCTGGCTGGCTGTGTAACCAGCCATTGGCATTGACAACATCCCCATCGGTCAATTACAAAAGGCAGCTTGACTTGGGACAGCTTGAATCCTGCAGCACATTCCTTGTGCAACAAGCACATCTGCCTCTCCCAGCTCCTCGGAAAGTTCTCAGCAGCTGGATTAAAAAGGCCAAATCCAGTCCAAACATCTGGCTAACTGCGTCAGACCACAATAATAATGATAATACTTTTGGTACCCTTCCTTTTCTCCACTCTAGGTGCACGTGGGAGGCAGCCTAGCCGTGCTCGGAGGTAAACTCTACGTCTCCGGCGGTTACGACAACACTTTTGAACTCTCCGCCATGGTGGAGACGTACGATCCCGAGAGCCGCAAGTGGAGCGTGGCCGGCCAGTTGCCGGAGCCCATTTTTTGGCACAGCAGCGTCAGCATCTTCCGCCAGTTCATGCCGGAGACGCTGGAGGGGGAGGAGGGGAAGCAGGCCCTGGAAGACCCCTTCGCCCCCAACCCTCCCAGACAAGACTTGCAGGAGCTGCGTTAAGGGGGCCGAGAGGTTGTCGGGTCTGTTGTGGCTTGTCAGTGGCCGGTGCTCCAGTGGTACCCCTCGGGGTTGGGAGGTGATGGCGCCCTGTTGGCCTCGCCAAGTTGGTTGGTCCTGTCCAGGAGTTCCGCAGGTCTTCTCTGTGGTGGACCCAGGAATGGGGTGGCATTGCAGGCCGGTTCCCGAAGGATTAATTGGGGACTGGGACAGAGGTTTTGGGGTTCAGCTCTGGACGGGGTGGGAGGGAAGAAGGTGGAACCTTGAAAGGAAGGTCTTCGAGGAACGTGTCCCTTCCCCTTTCTTGATCCTGGATGTAATTCAGAATTCATAGGTCAAGTTTTCTATACTGGTCAAAAAAGACTCTAAAAATGATGCCCCCCCTCTCCTGTTTGTGACATTGTGGATGGTCCCAGAGAGAAGGGTCTGGATGAGGAGATTAGTCCACCGCGGGTTAGCTGAGGGAGATTTTTTCTGGGGTTGGGATAGATGATCCCAAGGGGACCCTTCCCGGTGTCTGCTTCTCTGCCGTCGCCCAATCAGGTTGCAGAGCGCTTCTTTCCACCCGCCGTGCCATCCATTCCTTGGCATTTGCTTGTGGGGGGGAGGAGAAGGATGAATGGATTGTGCTGCCTGTCTCCGCACTGAGCAAGGGGGTTGGTCTGGATGACCTCTAGGCCCTCCTCCCCCCCCCCACTTCCCACCTTTACATTTCTGTCGTTCTGCGTCTGGAAAGAGAGGCCATAATATTATTATTTTTTTTCTGGAAGAAATTGCTCATCAAGCCAATGTGCCTTGGACGCAAAAAAAGAAAGCCTCATATTAATGCCTGGGTAATAAATCCAACTTTGGCAGAAAAAGACATCTTTAATTTACCAAATTAAGGAATTTTGGTTGTTTTTTTTTTTTTTTTTGCTGCGGGGCTGAACTGGTGCCCTGCCTCTGCCATTCGTCAAGAGGACTAGTGTCTTGGAGCAAAAATAAACTATTACCTTTTGCAGTGTTTTTAAGGAGACTGTTCCCAATGGCCTGTAATCTCCACGATGGAGAAAAAGATATTTTTATAGACGTAATTTCTACGCACCGGCCTAGAACGGAGGCCGTGTGACTTTAGAACGGACCGACAGGATTTTCCTTCTTGCGTCGCAGCTTGCAACTCTGCAATTGCAAAAAACCTACACCTATACAGGTAGTCCTCGACTTACGACCAATCATTTAGTGACTGAAGTGACAACGGCACTGAAAAAAGTGACTTAGGACCGTTTTTCACACTTACGACCGTCGCAGCGTCCCCGTGATCACAATCCGGTTGTAAAATGGGGCAAAATTCACTTAACAAATGTTTTCACTGTCAAAATTTGGGGCACCCTTTGTGGTCGCTAAATCGAGGACCGCCTGTATCTTAAGAGGGGCTCGTTTCCCACGCAGCCGTTTACAGACCCTGCTGGTGGTTCCGCTTTTTAATACCTTCCAATGTATGAGAATTATTATATATATTTTTTTGTGGCTGGGCTGTTCCACGGAGGGGACAGTTTGCAACCTCTGTTCCAAGCCGGACGCTTGGGAGGGAGGGGTAATTTTTGTATTTATTGAATGTTTAAATGTAGTCCTTGCACTTGGCCTAAAGTACTGTAGACTTCTCGCTCCTTCGAAGCAAAACTATTCTGGGTTTGGTAAAGCTTCCTTTTCGAAAACTTGAAACGTGCCAAATAAAAGAGACGTGGCTGACGCTGCCGGAATCTGTTTGGGGAAGGCAAAAAAAAAAAAAAAAAGACACCACAAAAGGGAGGCATTTCCATCCGGTCCCCCACTGGGTGAAATTCACTATTTGGAAAACAGAAAAAAAAAATGTTATTTGTGGGTCGAAATCTCTGCCTTTTGCCACCTGCTTTCAGGGCTGGAATAAGCCACCATTCCTGGTTTGCTGTGCTCCTCTGATGAGCAAAAACCTCTTGTAAAAATGGGTAAAGAATTGCGTTTGCAAAGTTGAGAAACAGCCAGGTTGTGTAACAGGGCGTGAATAGTTTGACAAGTGAAAACCCGGCCATTTTTGCTGAAAACCGGAGCCCCGAAACTGCCTTTTGCTCGGCCGACACGTTATAAAATGAGTCAAAACTCAACCCAGCTGCCTTGCTTAGCAACGGAAAGGTTTGGGTTCCATTGTGGTGGTAAACTGAGTACTATTTTCCTGGTGGGCACGTGTGCTAAGCCACAAGCTAACCCCATGGCTGTGCTCAGTGTAGCAAACCAGCAGTTAACCAAGTCCAAACTAACAATGCTGTCTTCCAGGACACCAGCTTGAGAGCCCCTTCGCCATGTTTTCTCCCCTCCCTTTTAATCACACCATAATTGGGGGGGGGGGAGAATGGCCCGTACAATGTGACAAGTGTCACCAGAAGGCTTGAACAACAGAATAAGAGAGTTGGAAGGAACCTCAGAGGTCTTCTAGTCCAGCCCTCTGCTCAAGCCGGAGACGCTAGACCATTCCAGACAAATGTTTGGCTAATCTTTATTAAGGGGAGGGTCCTCGGTGGGAGGGGGGGCATGCCGCTACATCCCACAGTCGTTCGGGATGGTTATGAGGAAGGACTGTTCCGTGACTTCAGTGGGGCCCAAACTCTCGTTTGAGCAGAGTCTCTGTCCGGTGGGCAGATCCACGTTTGGGGCGCTCTGGGCCAGGGCCTCCACGATCACCTCTGCGGAGCCCACCTCCAGGACGTTGGGGGGCTGCAGGGCCACCACCACCACCTTCTCGTCCTCGATGACCAGGTTGCGTAGCTTCCTCTGGCGAGGATTGTAATTCTTGACCCGGTCGTGAATTTCCATGTGGCGTCTCAGGTGAGCCTGGCGGGAGAAAGAGTGGGAGAAGGTCAAGGCCAGGGCAAGGAAGGGCCCAACATTCAACCACCCCATCACCGCGAGGTGGGCCTTCAGGACACAATGATTACAGTTGGAAGGGGGACCTCTGAGGTCTTCTGGTCCAGCCCCCTGCTCTGGGATGCTCTAACTACACAATTGTGCTATAGATCTCTTATTCACGAGGCAACAGATGTTCTGCTGAAAAAGGAGAACATCTGGATTCTTGGCTGGATTGTTTTGAGATAAGGGACTTCGGGCCAAGGACCTGAGCAGGGGCAGAGAAGGTTTTGGAGAACTCCTTCCCACCTCGGGCCGACAACAAAAGAAGGCAAAACACGCACAATACCTGCCGTGTGAATTTGTACCCGCATTCCGTGCACTCAAACTTCCGCATCCCTTTGTGTCGGCGGACGTGGACCCGCAGCTGTTCCACCGCTACGGGGACAAAATTGGTTAAACGGTGGCAGGGTTCCACCTTTGATTCCCCACAGAGAGAGAGCCCAAAAGAGGGGCTGCCTGGAGTCAGCCAGGCCTTCCCTGCTCCCCAAGGAAAGGGCACCACCCGGTAAGATTTCTTTGCTGTTAGTCGCAGCGCGGGAAAAGCTGCACCGGTTTTCCCGATCCGGCCGTTACCTTTGAACGTTTTCCCGCAGATCTGGCAGAAATGCGGCCGCCCCTCCTGGTGCCTGCTGGCCACGTGTCTCAACAACGGGCCTCGCTCGGTAAACCGCTGGGCGCAAAACTCGCAGCTGAAGGGACGCTCCCCCGTGTGGGTCCGGTTGTGCTTATCCAGGCTCGCTGCGAACGAGGACAAAAAAGTAAGACGACGAGAGATCAATCTGTCCGGTGTGGCTTTGTCTCACCCCTGCGACCCATTGCAGCTTGGATGGAGAGACCCTCTCCCCTAGAGACCCGATCCTGGTCGCCTGATTATTTAGCTTGTGGCATCAACAGGGGGTCCTCAACGTACGCCCGCAACTGAGCCTCCCATTTCTGACGCTAAGTGAGACAGGCGAGTTTTGCCCCGTTGCTTAGTGACTTAGGATTGGTCCGCCGTCCTTTACCTTGCGTGCGGAAGGTTTTCCCGCAGAGGTGGCACTGGAAGGGCTTCTCGCCGGTGTGGGTGCGAAGGTGCATGTTGAGGTTGGCTTTCTGGGTGAAGGCGTGCTGGCAGAATCCGCACACGTGCGGCCGTTCGTTCCTGGCAAGACAGGAAGTGCCGTCAGGTAAGACGGCAGCGTCCCCAGCAAGCCGAATCTCATCCCAGCCTGGCGGGCCACTCCGCCTCCTCCCCCCCGGCACCTGTGCTTCGCCTTGACGTGCATCTGCAAGCCGTTCCGGCTGGACGCGCGGTGGCCACACTCTTCGCAGACAAACAGCTTCTCGCCGCGGTGCTTGAAGGCCTCGTGCAGGTTCAGCTCCGTGCGCGAGAGGAAGCATTTGGAGCAGGAGGAGCACTAGAGGAGGAGAGACGGGTCCGGATGAGGAAAGGCGGGCGAGGAACGAGTTTGCATGTGTGTGTGTAAGTGTGGGAACCCCGCTTCTGCCTGCTCACCGCGTGTGGCTTAGGGGCGCCGTGCAGCTTGATCAAATGGCTTTGTAATTCCTTCTTCTGCATGAACTGCTGGATGCAGGAGCAACACTGCAAAAGAGACGGGCACCGCTCAGGGCCAAGGTGCCAGCGAGAGGGAGGGGAGAGGGTGAGGACTGGAGGCGTTGCCCCCCTCTCCCCCTGCCTGCCGATAGGGCTGGGTTGGCAACTCCTGGCTGGAAGTGGCCACCACAGGAAAAAGAGGCAGAACACAACAAGCACACGCAGCAGACCCTAAATTCTTTCTTAATGTAGGTCAATTTCCAGATACAGATAATCCTCGACTTACAACAGTTCATTTAGTGACCTGGCTTAGTGTGATGATGCAACCACCCTGAAACTGAGCTTGTATTGTACTTCTCAACTGTGAAGGCAAGGAAGAGGGCAGGGAAGCATGGATCCAGCCACAGCTGGGCTGTCGCGCCTTTGGGAGCAATTTCTCAGTGCATGGCCTCACCCAGCACCACTCAAGCGCAGGGCAGGCTGACCTTGTAAGGCATCTCGCCCGTGTGGGTCACCATGTGCAGCCGGAGTTCGACCCGCCTCTTGAAGACCTCTTGGCAGACAGAGCAGGTGTGCACCTGGCGGAAAGGGGGGAGGGAAGAGGGAGGGAAATCAGTGGGGGCTGGAAAGAGGGAGGGCCGTCCCAGAGTCCCCTGTCCCAGGAGGCTCACTTGGAACCCCTGTTTGGAAAGCAAGTAGGTGAAGAACAGAACAACAAAGTTGGAAGGGACCTTGAAGGTCTTCTAGTCCAGCCCTATGCTCAAGCAGGAGGTGAAACGTAGTCTCTGCAGGCCTGTTTCGGTTCTAGCGTCAAGCCCCAAAGTCTCGGGGTCTTGTGACTCTCTGGCTCTCCAACCAGCTATGGGAAAGACCCGCCATCCCAAATACCTGCTCCGAACGGCTCACGCAGTTCCTGGCTTCGTGATCCAGCAGGTTTTCCTTCCGGAAGTAGCACTTCCCACACTTGGAACATTCAAAGGGCTTCTCCCCCGTGTGCTTCCTTTGAGGGGATGGAGGAAAATAGCAAAAAAACTGGGTCAAATTAGCAATTAGGAAGGGCTTAGGGTCCTTCCAGGGAGTGAGGTTGATCACTGATCATTCCAGGGAGTGAGGTTGATCAATGGTCCTTCCCCCTAGCCTGCTTCATAAAGCACAGAGCTATCTCCACCCCAAGGCAGGAGAACAACCCAAGGGAGAGCAGAGACACCCCCACCCACTTTCCTTCCACAAATTCCCAGAAGTCTCCTCCTCCTCCTCCTCCTCCCTTCTTCCCTCCCTCCACAAGAGCTCCAAGCTTACCTGTTGTGGACCTTCAGATAATACTTGCTCAAGAAAGACTTATGGCAGGTGGGACATTCAACCGGTTCAGCCGTCCCTCGGCGGGGCCCGAGGGCCGCAGCCTTGAGACGGTGACTGTTTCCGCCGGTTTTGGAGCTGCTGCGGGAGGTTCTGGTCAACGAGGGCCTCTTCCTCACCCGGACACTCTTCTGATCCGGGACGTAATCCTCATCCGTGTCATCCTTCCCCCTCCCTCCGTTGTGATCTTCCGAGGGGAGATCACTCGAACCCAGGACCTCTGGGGTCTCCTGCTGGGAAGGAAGCACATGGCTGCTTGTAGATACCCATGAAGGCAGAAGCACTCTTATTTTGTCCTCAATAAGGGCTAGCTCCTTGTCCAGTGCAAACACATAAAGGTAAAGACTAAAAAAAAAAGTAGGTAGTGACTTGAACCCGTCCCCAATTCCGCAACCACGTCCCCATTTTTAGCAAGATTTAGCAGATCTGCCTTGCCCCAAATCCCAAAAATTCAGAATAGGGGAGATTCTCACGGCACCCCAAATTCCCTGCTCCTCAAACAGAGAAACTCCCGGTTTTTCAAGACCCTCCCCCCAATCTCTCTCCTTGCTTCTCTCCCCCCCCATTTTCTAGGTCAGGAGCAGACAAGGGCAATTCCTAGAGAGCACGTTACTCCGCACGCCACCTCGTGACTGGCGCCCGCGTCCTCGGCGGCTTCACTTTTCAGGGGCCGTTTAAGTTCCTTACATTCCGGGCTCTCCTTTACGTCGCCTGCGCGGCTTACAAGGTTTGTTTTGGGGACCCTTTTCAACTTCCCCCAAAGGAGAGCAGGGCCGTCCCGTGGCCCCTGAGCTCCTTTGACGCCCCGGGTCCGGGGACTTTCCGATGCTGGGGGGCCGGGGGGCGCCGCCTCGCAGGTCGACTCCCCCGGCGAGGTGGCATCGGGCTCTGTGTCGATAAGAACTTCGCCGTTCTGCTCGCCGCTCTCCTCCGAGCGGCCGGGTTGGAACTCCTGGCACAGCTGGATGACCTCGGGGACGCAGAGCTCCTTGGCCGTCTCCAGCAGCTTGTCCCGGTTGTCCGAGGTGACGGCCAGGTGTCCGGTGTAGAAGAAGTCCAGGAGGAGGGTGAAAACCTCCAGGAAGGTCTCCGGAAGGATGATTTTGCCGGTGGCGCCATTGTAGAGGGTTTGGAAGAAGGAGCTGCAGCAGGCCAGGACGCTCCAGTGGGCCTTGAAGACCAGGCTGCCCACGGCCAGGGTGGCATCACAGAACTGGCCCTTCTGCCGCTGGAGGTTCAGCTCTTGAAGGACCCGCACGCTGTGCTTGACAAACACACCCTCCATGGCACCCTGGAAAGAGGAGGAGGACGGGGACACCGTTGGAGGGGACGACGGCCCATGAGGAATCTGCCCCACGGGTGGGCTTGGTGTGGGTGGGGGATTCTCAACCTCAACCCATTTTAAATATGGCTGGACTTCCACTCCCAGAATTCCCCCAGCCAGCCATGGGAGCCCGGAAGGGCCAGTTTTTTGCACCCCCTAAGGAAACCAGCATGCCGTGCTCTCCAAGGGCCGGCAGAGGCGCATGGGTCTTAAAAGAGTCCCACGCCCCCACTGGTGCAACTTCAGCTCTTTGCAAAGGTGGGGAGAGGAACTGCGTGCATTGGGTGTGCAATGAGCATGCAAGGGGTCAGCAGAGGCTCATGGGTCTTAGAGTCCCACCCCCGACCTCTCCAGCCCGGCCTGGGGTTCTTTGCCAAGGTGGGGAGAGGAATTGCGTGCAATGGGTATGCAATGAACAGGCAGTGGGTATGCAAAGGGCATGCAACCCCAAAGGCCAGCAGAGGCTCATGGGTCTTAGAGTCCCACCCCCCCCCACCTCTCCAGCCCGGCCTGGGGTTCTTTGCAAAGGTGGGAAGAGGGTCCTCGTGCAATGGGCCTGCAATGGGTTCTGGAGTCCCGCCCCCGCGCCTCTTCTTGCAACAGCAGCCCTGCCTGCAGGGATGGACCCATCATCCACCCACCTGGACCCATCGTTCCCAGCCCGGCATATAGCACCCGCAGAAGGGCTCTCTCTGCCTCCTTCCGAGCCCTATCAGCCGATAAAGACCCCCCATCCCTCCCCAAAGCCCCCTGCTCACCTCGCCCACGCCCCACTCACTGCGCCCGCCGGCAAGAGAAGCGGGGGGCCGCCATCTTGGCACAGGCAGCGACGCGCGTGACGTCACCGAGCGGAGGGGACGCGGCATGCTAATTAGAGGGCGGGCCCCGCCCTTCGGCCCCGCCCCCTTCCCGGCGCCACGTGCTGATTGTGATTTTGTGTAAAAGGGGGGGAAAGAGACGGTGCACCACTGAACCCATGCTTCCCAGCCAGCCAGTGCATGGGTGGCAATGGGGATTCCGGGGGGAGGGATTTAATTTAGAAAGAGGCGTGTTATTTTGCCCACTTTTTTTAAAAAAAAAACAACTGAATTTTTTACCTATTTTAAGATGGGTGGACTTCAACTCCCAGAATTTTTGCTGCGGGTTGGAAGTCCAACGCTCTTAAAACAGACATTAACGTTTTTGCATAAGCTTTTCTGACTGGGGAATCCTGGGAGTTGAAGTCCACACCTCTCCCAAAAGTCCTTAATCCTCTATGTGATTTCATTTCCTTGGATTGAAATGGCCTAGGGTCTCCTGCCTGAGCAGGGGGTTGGACTAGATGACCTCCAAGATCCCTTCCAGCTCTGTTATGATTGATTGATTGATTGATTGATTGAGATGGCCTAGGGTCTCCTGCTTGAGCAGGGGGTTAGACTAGAAGACCTCCAAGGTCCCTTCCAACTCTGTTATTCTGAAATGAATATTTAATCAAATCTTTCCTCTGTGAATTAAACTTTTAAAAACTTTAACTGCATCCTCCTTGGGAACTCGAGGATTTGTGAGGTCTGCGAAGTGGAAGGTGTTCCCCCCCCCCTCCCATCATCAAAAAAAAAATCCTCATTTTGCGCTTTTCATATATCTTTTTCTGGCTTCTTTTTATTAGCTGAAACATTCTCGGGAGATGGGATCCAACTGAAGAAGGGGCGCGTCTACCCTGCCGCAGCTCTACGAGCACCAAAGGAGGCGGGCCAGAGGCGTGGCGGGCCGACCTCTCGCGAGAGTCGCCGAGGTTTTTCGCGAGAGGACGGCCGCGCGGTCGCTGTGGAGATTTCTTCGCGGCTCCCGGTGAGGTCCGGATGGCGAAGCGCCGCTCGGGTGGCCCGAAGCGGCTCCAGAACGGGACGGCCCGCCGAGAAAAGCCGCCTCCAGCGCCTCCGCCGGAGCTCCCCGCTAAACCGGCCCCGCTAACGGCCGCCGCGGCGGGCGAAAACCGCGCGGCGGTTCTGCTCCCCTCAGAGCAAGTGAGCGTGGGCGGGGTCATGCAAATGAGGGGGCGGGGTTTCCTTGGGGGCGGGGCCTGGAGTCTGTTTATAAGCTGCTTCCGCGTCTGGCTGCTATTTAAATCCCCAGGTCGTTGTGTGTGGATTTTGGGGGGGTCTCCCCTGCTTTCTGGGGGGCTTTAGCTGCCTGTCCCCTGCTGGGCCCCCCTCTGCCGACCCCAAGGACTAAATAACTCATATAGGCAGTCCTCGGCTTACGACCACAACTGAGCCCCACGTTTCCAGACAGTCGTTAAGCGAGTTTTGCCCTATTTTACGACCTTTCTTGCCACGGTTGTTAAGTGAATCACCGCAGTTGGTTAAATTAGCAACGTGGTTATTAAGTGAATCCCCCCCCTTTCATTGACTTTGCTGGTCGGAAGGTCGCAAAAGGGGATCACGTGACCCAGGGACGCTGCGACCGTCATAACTATGAGTCAGTTGCCAAGCAAGCGAAATTCGATCACGTGTACCACGGTCGTTCATTGTGAAAAATCATGCAAAGCCGCTTTTTTCAGTGCCGTTCTGACTTCGGTCGCTAAATGGATCGTCAAGGACCAGCTGTTAACAACGGTGGCTTCATATCTCCACTCTTGCTCCGCCTTCTTCTCCCCAGACTCTGACGTTCACGGGAAAGTGTCGCCTGACCTGCCTGTATGGATCCGTGGAGGTGTTGGGGTTCACAATTGCTCCAGACCAGCCCCCTTACGATCTGTTCTCCCCCCACACCTACTGTGCCCTCACCGTGGAAGCCGCTGCCGGCAAGGAGGGCACGGAAAAATCGAAGAAGGAGATGAAATTGGAAGCCAAGGCCATTCTCCGAGCGCACCTCGTGCCCCGGGGTAAGGAGCAGCGAGGGGACCCGGGGTGTTTATTTCTATGTCTTTGCTTATTTATATCTCACGGTGTTTATGAATAACTCAAGGTGGAGAACCAATGCAACCCAGTCACTCAGGCAGAACTAGAACTCACCACCTCCCGGTGATTGGCTTCAAGTCACTCCAATGGCTTTCATGCCTAAGGCAGGATTAAAACTCACCGTCTCCTGCTTTCTAGCCCAACCAAACTGGCTGTAGATACCTTTCTAAGAATGTAAATGCCCTGGTGGTGAGTTGGGCAACAGATAAATGTGATGAAATAAATAAAATCTCTGGGTGTCTCCTTTGTTTTTCAGAGGCCAGGTGCAGATTGCTAAAAAGCTTTGTGCCCCACTGCTCCATCCTTTTGCTGGAACAGCTGGACACCCCAGCGACGAAGTTCATCCTCAGCCACCCGGAATTCTCCCAGGTTTTCAGAGCGAAAGTGAGTTCCTATGGCCGCCTCAGTGCAGGCAGTGCTCGACTTACGACGGCGAAGGGAGGGAGGGAGGGAGAAAGAGAAAGAAAGAAAGAAAGAAAGAGAAAGAAAGAAAGAAAGAAAGGAAAGAGGGAGGGAGAGAGGAAGGAAAAGAAGGAAAGTTAGAGAAACGAAGGAAGAGAAAATAGGAAGGAAGGGAAGGAAGGAAAAGAGAAAGAAAGAAGAAAGGGACGAAAGAAAGGAAGGAATGAGGGAGGGAGGAAAAGAAAGAGGAAGGAAGAAAGAGAAAGAAGAGGAAGGAAAGAAAGAAAGAAAGAAAAGAAAGGGACAAAAGAAGGGAAAGAGGGAGGGAGGGAGGAAAAAACGAAGGAAGAGAAAAGAGGAAGGAAGGGAAGAAAGAAAAAGAGAAAGAAAAGAAGGGGACAAGAGGGAGGGAGGAAGGAAAAGAAAGAAAGAGAAAGGAAGAAAGAGAGAGAAGAAGAAGGAACAGAAGAAAGAAAGAGAAAGAATTGTGTCCCAAGCACTCTGCAGCTGAGCACTGCTTTGAGCAGCAGAGCAGAAGACCCCTACCAACCCTTCCCCAGCGTCCTTTCGGCCTCCCCCTCGCCCCTTTTGGCTCATCCCCCTCCTCTCTTTCCCTCTCCAGAAACAGGCCTTCTCTTCCATCCTGGAAGACCCCGTGCTGGCTTCTGCCGGCCTGGAGAGGCTGGAGCCCGGCAGAGGCCTGCTGCTATCCCAGAGCATGCGTTCGGCCATTGGCGAGCTGATCCACGCTTGCCAGGGTGAGTCACCCAGAAACACTGGGGAGGGGGTTTCCCCTCCCACCTTGAGGAACAGACCTGTTTTTTGAGGGAGGGTTGCTTTCTTCTCGTCAAATATTTTTTATTAGTTGATCAAAACACAAAGAAAATAACAGGAAAACAGGAGCAAAAGGGGGGGGGAAATCCCATTGACCTCCAACTCCTGTTGGTGCAGTAGAATAAGGTGATAAAACACAGCCTCAACTTTTTACTTTTACACAATAATACAGATAGTCCTCGACTTAACAAACAATTCATTTAGTGGCTGTTCACAAAGTTAGAACAGCGCTGAAAAAAAGGGAGTCAGGACCCTTTTTCCCGCTTAACGGCCATCGCAGGATCCCCGTGGTCATACAATCAACATTCAGGACGCTTGGCAACTGATTCGTATTTATGACGGTTGCGTCGTCCTGGGCTCCTGGGACCCCCTTTTGTGACCTTCCGACAATGGGGGAGCCAGATTCACTGAACAGCCGTGTCACTGACTTAACAACAACAGTGGCCAAAAAAGGTCGTAAAATGGGGCAAAACTCACTTAACAACATTCTCGACTCAGCCACAAAAATTTCGGTCCCTGATTGCGGTCGTAAGCTGAGGACTCCCTGCGCTCTGAATTCCCTTCCCCTGTGCTGAATTCTTGCATCTTCACCCCAAAATCTCATCCAGGTTCTCTTGCTTGCTTTTTAGTGGAAGATGAAGGTTGCCCGATTATCCTGGTTTGTGGCCCCAAAAGCATCGGAAAATCAACGTTCAACAGATACCTGATGAATCTTTTATTAAACTGGTGAGTGTTTCCCTCCCCTCCCCCCTCTGGCTCTCTCCTAAGCTTGGTCTCTTGTTTTGTATTGGGTTTTTTTTCCCCTTGAATTATTCCTGGACTGTTTCTCTCCCTCTTTTTAAATCCTAGCCTTCCCTCCCTCGAATACTTGGAATGCGATTTGGGACAGCCGGAGTTCACCCCACCGGGCTGCATCTCCCTGGTTAACGTGCGGGAACCCCTTCTGGGTAGGTGCCTTGCAGGGTTCTTTTTTTTTTTTTTAAGAAAAAAATCAGTTTTTGAAGAAGCAAAGAAACAGAGCCGGAGGAACTTTTGACATTGGGATGTTGCAGCAGTAGAGAAAAACGAGAGGGGAGGTCGACTTAAGACCACAATGGGATCCAGGATCTCTGTTGCTAAGCAAGTTGGTCATTAAGGGAGGGTGATGGATGGTGTGTGTGTGTGTGTGTGTGTGAGAGAGAGAGAGAGAGAGAGAGATGAAGGGCACCTGATGTTCCACAACTGTTTGTGCCACATCTCCCCACCGACCCCCAAATGTTTATCATTAACCTTTCCGCCTTCGGACCACTGGAATTTCGGCCTGGCCCCTCTTTCTGCTTCAGGTCCGCCGTTCACCCACCAGCGCCCCCCTCGCAAGATGGCCTTCTACGGGGACAACTCTTGCGAGCACGACACCGAGCGCTACCTCGACACGCTGAAATACGTCTTTGGAGGCTACGAGAGAGACGTCCCTCTGCTGGTCAACACCATGGGATGGGTGAAAGGTAGCACCAAGGACCCCACTGTCCTCCTCCCTCCTCCCCTCTTCCTCTCTGCAACACCCCCCCCCCCTTCTAGCACTGATGATTTTATCTATTTGGGTCATGAAAGGTCTGCAAGAAAGCAACCAAGCTCACAGAACACCAAGGACCCCACAGTCCTCGTCCCTCTCCCCCTCCTCCTCTCTGCAAACCCTCCCTCCCTTCTAGCACTGATGACATTCCCTACTTGGGCAATGAAACGTCCAGAACAAAACCACCAAGCTCAGAGACCACCCAGGGCTTCCCAAAGCAGACCCTCGCAGCCTGTGTGATCCCTCTTTCCTGGCTCATTCCGGCCCCTTGCCCTCCCCACTCCATCCTCCTTTGGTTCTCCTCCTGTCTCCCAAGGGGCCGGCTTGCTGCTCCTGATCGACACCATCCGCGTGCTGTCGCCCACCCACGTGGTCCAGCTGAGCACCGAGGATTTCAAAGACATGCCTCAGCTCTCCGCCGACTACATCCGCGGCACCGCCGGCCTGCACACCCGAGGGAAGCCCTCCCTCAAAAGGAAAAATCCCGGCGGAAGTTGGGAACACTGCCGGAACCAGCGAGGCTCCCATGCTCCCCAGCCTGGGCATCAGTTGCTGTGTGTCCAGCCAAACTTTCCGGGCGCCGGAGTCCCCGGCAAAGGGTAGGTATTGGCTCGGGGCGCGGAGAGACGGGAAGCACAGCCGAAAAAGAAAAGAATTCAGATCTTAAACACGTTTTGTCACACTCCTTCCCTGACATTTTCTTGATTAAATTCATAATGATACACGCAAGTCCTCGACTTAACGACCATTCATTTAGGCAGTCTCAATTTACAACAGTTCATTTAACTATGGTGGAAGAAAGGTCATAAAATGGGGCAAAAACCGAGCATCAGGAATTTCGCCTGCATTTTGGTCGTAAGTCGAGGCTCCTGTCTCAGATGTACCTCTGTGTTGGTCCTTGCAGGCGAGCGCACAGCAGCACCTTGCGAAGTCTTACTATGGTGGGCTACCTGGGCCAGCTGCAGCCGCCCGACCTGGAAGCGGTGGTCCCCCTGCCCAGCCTGGTGCCCTATCAGGTAAGGCCCTGCATGGGGCGAATTGCCAGCCTTGACAGGCAGAGGAAATGGGGGATCTCTCTGATGGCCATGCTGCCTGGCTATCCCTGTACAGCCCGGCACTGATAATGTAACCCAGTTTGGTAATGAAACGTCTGCAGGAAAACCACCAAGCTCAGAGAGCACCAGGGACCCCACAGTCCTTCTCTTCCTCCTCCCTTTCTCCTCCTCCTCCTCTTCCCCCCTTCTAGCACTGATGATGTTCCCTAGTTGGGTCATGAAATGTCTGCAAGAAAACCACCAAGCTCAGAGAGTACCAAGGACCCCACAGTTCCACAGATATTCCCTTCTGTCAGTGTCCCCGTAGAACAAAAAGCGAATTGACCCCCCCTCTTTTTCCTCTGGGTCTCCCAGGTGCCCTTCAGCGCCGTTGTCCTGAAGGTGATCCACGTCGACGTGGAGCCAACCCACATCTTGTGCTCCCTCAATGCCAGCTGGGTCGGCCTGTGCCACCTGCCAGACCAGATCCCGTGTAAAGCCGAGGGTCCTGTGGTGTTGACGCAGACCCCCCTCTGCGATTGCCTGGGCTTCGGTAAGGGGTCTGATTTGCATTAATTTCCATGTTTATTTGGATGAACAAAAAGAGCTCCTATCATCCATCAATCCTTATCTTCTTCTCCTGCAGGATAGTCTGTGCAGGCAGTCCTCAATTTGTTTAGCGGCCCTTCAGAGTTAACAGTGGCACTGCCTTAAATCCTGTTTTTTTCTTTAGAGTGGAGGTGTCCAATCTTGGGAACCTGTGGGCTTCAACTCCCAAATTGACTGGCCTGCTGGGGAATTCTGGGAGTTTGAAGTGCACAAAATCGCCATAGTTGACGATCGTTTTGGATCTAACCGTATCCTTTGCTAAATAACCAGAGGTTGAAAGCTGAAAATGTTATTCTTTTAAAATAGGAATCGTCCGAGGAGTGGAGATGACCCGCAAGCTTTACTATATCCTGACGCCGGTGGCTCCGGAGATCTTACGCCGGGTGAACTGTTTGCTGATTGGGAACATCGCCATCCCGAACTGCATCTTTCTGAACCAAGTAAGTGGACGGCGGACCGCTGAAGATGATGCGGAGAGAGAAAAAGGCGGTTTGTCAAATCCGTTGCAAATGTCAACAGGCAGCAAAGAGCTGATCTCTTTTAATCCCCCTCGCTGCGCTTTAGTTATGCATAACAGGAGGTTTTTTTTTTTAGCCGGCCGGCAGGCTTGAGGTCAAACTCAAATGTGGGCAGCCACGCAGAAGCTCAAAGGAATCTGCGTGCACTCCTTGTTTTGTAAAAGGGGCACGACTCCCAAGATGGAGGGTGAATTACGAAGAGGCCTGAGTGGGAATCTGGTTGTAGCATACAATCCCGGAGGAGGAGGAGGAGGAGGAGGAGAACGGGTCTCGTGTGATGCCGGCTTTGCTCCATTAAAAAAATCAAGTTGCCGGTCCTCATGACTGCAGTTAACACCTGGAGCCGGAATTTCCATCACCCAGCAAAGAAATTGTTAAGTCGGCTGTGCCCAATTTTACGACCCCTTTTTCCCCTGGGGTGGTTAAGCAAATCACTGGTCATTAAGGGAATCACATGGTCGTTTAGGCAAATCCATCGGGAAATTCCTCCTCAGTTCTAAGGTGGATCTCTCCACGATAAGCTTCCATCCGTTGCTTCTTGCCTCCCTCGGATGCTTTGGAGAATAACAAAATAACAGTTGGAAGGGACCTTGGAGATCATCTAGTCCAACCCCCTGCTCAAGCAGGAGATCTTTACATCATCTGGGTCAAATGGTGGTCCAGTCTTTTCTTGAAAAACTCCAATGATGGGGCATCCACAACTTCTGGAGGCAGGCTGTTCCATCCGTCCGTCCATCCGTCATGTATCTTATCTATCTATCTATCTAATCTATCTATCTATCTATCTATCTATCTATCTATCTATCTATCTATCTATCTATCTATCTATCTATCTATCTATCTATCTATCTATCTATCATCTACCTATCTACCTATCATCTATCTATCTAATCCAAGCAGCATTTGGTAACCTGTCTCCTGGATTCTCGGCGTCTCGAAGCATCTCATGAGGACTAGCGCCCCATAACAGCATCTGCTCCACTCTTTCCCTGCCTCTCTCTGTTTTTAGGCCAGGACCGGTGGGGAGATCCCTTACGTCACCTCGGATTACAACTACGATGTTTCCGGTGCTGGGAAATTAAAAATTAAGAAACATCTACAGAGGAGGGAACACCGTCACCTGTGAATTCCTCCTGGGGAAGGATTCGTCTCCGGGACCTAGCGGGCTTTCCATCGGCAAGCCGGCGCGTGTCATTCCCTGCCATTCCCTTGGCCAAATTTGGCTCCTCCCTTCCGCGACGAGCGTATTTTTGTCACGATGCTCAAATTAAAACATTTTGTATAAACCCGGCGGGTTAATCTGATTCTCGACATGCCTTTGAGAACCGGTCGGAGGCTGTGAAATCTAGATTGAAAATCTTATTTTTCTTTTTTTGTTTGTTTGTTTTGAGTTCTTACTTTCTATGTAAAAAAAAAAAAAGTTAAAATACGAAAGCCCAAGAAAAAAAAATTTTTTTTAAACAAACAATCCCCCCCCCAGATGTTAAAAAAGTACATTAAATTCTTGCACCCCAAAAGAAAGAAGTAACTCCGCTTTGCCACTCTCGGGACGAGGGGTGCCTGAGTGTGAATTTCAGCAAAGTGGTGCGCCTTGTCGTTTTAGCAGGATTTGCACTTTTTTCCAAACACACACAGACACACACACAGACACACCAGTGCAGTCTGTGGCTAAATTCTGCTTGTTAAGGAAGCCACGAGGTTGTGGGTTGCTTTGCGGTGCCCAGAACAATAGAGCCAGGCTGCGTGTTTATTTAATCTATAATCCTTTTTATTCTCTCCATCATCGGAAAAAGGATTATATCCAGTGGCCAACTGTCTGCCCGAAGGAAAGAAAAAACAAAAAATTAAGCAGAAACAGCAAAATTAGGGTTGAAAATAAGCCAGAACTGGAGGAATTAATCCCATAAAAGCATTCCTGGGCTGGAGAGGCTGCAGAATGCTCCGCCCTCCTCTCGGTCATGTGACCCCAGCTTCATTCCTTTTGAGGGGGGGAAACCTCATGGACACCCCTATGGTGTCTTCTGGGGATTGACCCAAAATCAACCAGCTGGCTTTCGTGCCTAAGGCAGAACTAGAACTCACAGCCTCCTAGTGATTGGCCCAAAGTCACCCAGCTGGCTTTCGTGCCTAAGGTGGGATTAGAACTCACCGTCACCTGGTGATTGGTCCAAAGTCACCTAGCCGCCTTTGCTGTCTTAAGACAGAACTAGAACTCACCGTCTCCTGGTGATTGGCCCAAAGTCACTCATCTAGATTTCATGCCTAGAATTCAACAAAAACAGTCGTAAAATCCCCGACAACTCATGTAGCCGTGGGAATTCTCCCTGCGGCGGTCGTTAAGTCGAGGACTGCCCGTTCTCAGGCTTGCCCGTCGTTCTGAAGTGTCTAGTCCGATGCTGGCTTGATCCGTCTACTTCTCGGGGCTCTTTTGCACGCTCACGCAGCCAGCCTTCGGGGGGGGGCTTGTGTTGCAAGCTCCCATCGAACCAACATGGCTTGCCCTCGCCTCTCCAGGGATGGGGAGGCGGGGGGGGCAGCCGGGCCTGCCTTCCCCCCTGGTCCGTCTCCCTCACCCACCCGCCCTCCGTCTGTCCGTCTCGTCTTGGGCTTGAGATTCCTTTCATGACGGACGGACGGTAAAATCCGTCCGAGGTCCGTAGGAGGAAGAGAGAAAAAGGGTCTTTTGTCCAGACCAGAGTTGGAGAACATTGCTGGGTTTCTCTTCGCCCGCCCGACTCAGTTCCCAGAAACACCGGCTCTGCAGGGGCTGAATGGGCTTCTTGTCCCCCCAAAACCGGCTCTTCTTTTGGGGGGGGTTTCAGTTTGGGGGGGTGACCCACCTAAGGAGTTACCAAGAAAGCCGCTTCCGACGATCTCGAAGGAGGGAAGAAACTCAGGGTTAACTCCGGAGCCTCTTTCCCCTGCTGCTCCGAGATGTTTCTCTACTGGAAAAAGAGGGGGGCCTACGAACTGGAGGTGCTGCCCCCCGATTTGATGGACCTGGAGGCGAGCATGGCGGGGCGCTTCTCCTGGAGTTCCACGCTCAACATCGCCCAGGACCTGGAGGGTAAGTCAGGCGGGGACGGCTAGAAGGGGGACTGCCTTAGAGAATGACAGAACAGCAAGAGTTGGAAGGGACCTCGGAGGTCATCTAGTCCAACCCCCTGCTCGGGCAGGAGACCCTAGGCCATTTCAGACAAGTGGTTGTCCAGTTTCTTCTTAAAAGCCTCCAGTTGATGGAGCACCCACAAATTCTGGAGGCCAAGCTGTTCCACTGATTAATTGATCTGGGATTATAGAATAACAGAGTTGGAAGCGACCCTGGAGATCATCTAGTCCAACCCCCTGCTCAAGCAGGTGACCCTAGACCTTTCTTTTTCCAGTTGACCAATAGGACCATCTCTCTTTCTCTCTCTCTCTCTCTCTCTAATCTCTCTGTCTTATTTCTCCATCTGTCCATCTCTGTCTGTCTGTCTGTCTATCTATCTATCTATCTATCTATCTATCTATCTATCTATCTATCTATCTATCTATCTATCTATCTATCCTTCCTCTCTCCTAGATATCTCTCTCTCATCTCTCTCTCTCTCTCTCCCTCCCTCTCTCTGTGTCCATCTATCTATCTATCTATCTATCTATCTATCTATCTATCTATCTATCTATCTATCTATCTATCTATCTATCTATCTATCTATCTATCTATCCTTCCTCTCTCCTAGATATCTCTCTCTCATCTCTCTCTCTCTCTCTCTCCCTCCCTCTCTCTGTGTCCATCTATCTATCTATCTATCTATCTATCTATCTATCTATCTATCTATCATCCACTATTTATCTTATTTAGCTATGCTAGATATCTGTCTGTATCAATCTGTGCAAAAGACTTCGTTTGGGATAGACTCTCCTGCCTGAGCAGGGGGTTGGACTAGATGACCTCCAAGGCCTCTCCCAGCTCTGTTATTTCGCAGAATCCTTATGTTTTGTGCTCCGCTCCAGATGTTGGCATCACAAAACTCCTTTTGTTGCTTGTGTCTGCGTTGAAAGGGGGAAGATAAAAAGGACGGGACGGCCACCCCCGTGCATTCAGCCCTGCTGGGAGGCCGTTTCTGTTTTGCAAAATCAAATTCTCCCTCCTCCTCCGATGAAGGCATAATGGCGTAATTATGTGATCTGGTTGTGGGATGGTTGAAATGCAAAACCTGTTTTTATGCCTAGTGGATAAACTGTGACCCCGTATCCTGACAGGGCTGGACTAGATGACCTCAATGGGTTTAAAAAAAACATTCCACGATACTGAGAAGCAGCAGAAGACGTATTTTTGCTAGAAGCAAAGACGTTTTTTTATTATTTTGGCTAGAGTCTGTTGTCTACAATTTAGGGACCCTTCCTCCCCCCCCCCCATTCCTCCATTTATCTCCCAGTCTTGCAACTGGGTTTCCTCAAACGGCGGTGGCCTTTTTCTTGGCTGAAAAACCGCCTGTTTCCACTTCCCTTATTATTCATAATAGATTGTCGGGCAGAAATAATTTTGCCCAGCCGTTTGGCCAATAGCGCGGCTGTTCCTAAGTGCTTGAGGATAGACGAGGAGACAGAGGGCCTTTGTCTGAAGGGGGGGGTCTGGCCAGAAAAATTTCGAAGCGTGGGCAGCCCATGTCTCCATCCTTTCTTTCTTTCTTTCTTTCTTTCTTTCTTTCTTTCTTTCTTTCTTTCTTCTCTTTTTCTCTTTGCCTTTTCTGTCTTTGTCTTTTTTTCTCTTTTTCTTTTTTCTCTTTTTTTCTTCCTTCTCTCTCTTTCGATCTCTTTTCTCTCTTCCTTTTTCTTTCTTTCTCTCCCTCTTTTGCTCTTTTTGTCTTTCTCTCTCTCCTTCTCTCCTCCTTTTTCCTCTCTATCTTTCTCTCTCCCGCACATAAACACACACACACACACACACACTTCTCTTATCAATCTTAGGAGAAGCGTCTAGCTTAGCAACAGAAATCTGGGACTCAGCTGTGTTCATAAGCCGAGGACTCCCTAGCCAGAGACTATTAAACGGGGTCTTCGTCTTCTTTTTTTAATTCCAGATGAACCAGCCGTAGCAGAGGAGACCGTCCCCCTGTGCCAAAATCCCAGCTGTGCTGAGAACAGGAGAGCTGTCAAGGTAATTCCCCTTGCCCACCAGTAGTGCCCCATGGGCTTTGGGATCTATCCTGGCCAGAAGGGTGTTCCGTCAGCTACTGCAGAATACAGAATGCCAGAGCTGGGAGGGACCTTGGAGGTCTTCGAGTCCAACCCTAGACTATTTCAGACCAATGGCTGTCCAATCTCTTAAAAATCTCCAGTGATGGAGCATCCACAGCTTCTGGTGGCAAGCTGTTCCACTGGTTAATTGTCCTCACTGTCAGGAAGTTTCTCCTTCATTCCAGGTTGCTTCTCTCCTTGATTGGTTTCTATCCATTGCTTCTTGTCCTGCCTTCAGGTGTGTTGGAGAACAGGTGGACACCCCTCTTCTCTTTGACAGCCCCTCAAGTATTGGAAGATGCTATCATGTCATTTCTAAATCCCCCACCCCCCAAATTTAGACACGGGATAATTCCAATTTGCAACACGGAAGAACTGAGCTTGCAGACAGGAATTACAATGAGCCCTCAACTCAGGAACGCAATTGAGGTCCAAATTTATGTTGCTAAGTGAAACATTTGTTAAGTGAGTTTTGCCCCCGTTTTACGACCTTTCTTTTGCCAGTTCTTAAGTGAATCACTGCAGTTGCTGAGGGAGTCCCTGCTCAATTCCTTCAGGTTGGTTTGTACTGCGCCTCCCATCCTCCCCAGCCAGGGCCCTCTTGCTCTCCTAAGGGACGTGGGTATTTAAGCATTCCACAAAAACGACAACCCCCTGGGCTCATCTGCAGACTCCTGCCAAAAAAGCAGAGGTCCAACCCAGGTCAGCCTCTCGTAATGTGTGAATTGGCTGCAGGCCAGCCCCTTCCCTTGGCCAGACCCGGACGCAGCGCTGATACCCACAATTTTCCTGGCGGGTTCTGCTGCCAGATTATAATTTGTGTGTCTGCCGGCAAATTAGCCGTGGGGAGCCTGTCTCTTCCCCTCCTTTAATCAGATTTCCTGTTCCCGTAAAACTGCATTTTATTATCCCTGCAGGAAAAATCGTCTGCATTGATGTTTTTTGGGGGGTGCTTTTCTCAAATCTGGGGTGAGGCTTTTAAGTCCTTTCTGGATCCCACTGCTCTTTTTCCCCAGCCATAAAGCATCTCGACCGCTTTAGCTCGTGGTTTGGCCACC